CATCCCGGTGGGATGACAACCAGCTACGCTAAGTATTCCACAACATGACGGATGTCGAAATTCGCAGTGGAGCTATTCTGCATAGGAAGCGATAGATGCCTATCGTCGAAAATCCTAAGATCTCCTTCTCCTCTCTAAGAATACGAGAGAAACACGTATAGTTGTATGACAGCTTAAGTGCTGTCACAAAAGAGCAACGGTTCTCATGAGAATTCAGCTGGACAGTTTCGAAAGAGCCCCTGTACACACAACTTTCCCAGAAGTTCTCAAACTATTCAACATCTTCTATTCAGTGAGCTTTCGCCTTGCTTTCCATCCAAGATAGATTGTATGTTATAAAGATATCATCCAATTTTCCTTCTTACCTTTTAATTTGTATAAAACGAATTCTGTCTGTCATCACGAGAATGGCGCTAATACGACCGTTCTGGGCCAACCAAGCCTTTCATTCTTCCGACGTCGGGAAATTGGTACCGGATTTGTCCAGGAAGAAAATCACTCTCTGCAATCCAATTGTGAACGCTCCAGTCCGGCTATCTCAGGACTCCAGAGAGAATTCCTTGAGCAGCGTTCTACAACATTCAAGATGAAATGAAAATCCTCAAGCAGCAACCGATGCCACACGTTGAAGTTGAAAAATCTTCGTGGGCGAAGGGATACGAGGAAACGGATTGAATGCGAGAATTGCTGTGGTCCGCACAGTAAGACGTGAAGACGGGTCATATAAAATATTTAAAAAATAAAAAGAAAGACCGTGGCGTGTAAACAAGCACAGAAAGCCGATCTTTAACATGAGATACAACATGGGCCTAAAGGCATTTATTCTGGAAAAATACTTCAAATTATGGTATGACAAAATTCCAAGCTAATCCACAAAACGATCACCTAGACTATGCAGAAGAGTAGCTAACGACAAGATGGCAAACATCGGAAGAAATTGATGGCCTAGCAAGTAAAAGTTTGTGGAGCTGATCATATTGCTCCGAGCGCTTTGCATGAGTAGTTTCTGCATTGCACTATCAAAATGTGTCTGCGGAAGGTGTAAATGCTCTAAAGACAACAGAGCTGGACAAATCACATTGCAGATGGTCGTAAATGTTCGCAGATGTTTGTAAAATAGTGGAAACTTCTTGAATATGCCGACGGTTTTGTGCTTCCAGATGTTTTAACTAAAATGGTACGTAGGAGCAAAAACACTCACGAATGCGTCAGATTGGTTTGGAGGGACATTAACTGAATAGAAAGTAAAAGAATCTCAGCTATTATATTTGTCTCGTACTCATCATCTGGGCATACTCATCAGTTACCACAGTGTACAACTTAAATTTACGCCAGGGATGCCATCGAACCGTTTAACTTTGCATAATTCATTTAAATCTACTTCTTGGGCCACCTCCACCCAGTGTGTTCTTTCACAGCTCTCGCTTATTTGATCCAGCATTATTTAAAACTGAAGCCGTTCTCAAATGCTGTAAAATCGCTCTAAGATGAAAAATAATTTTACGAACTTTAAGATATATTTTTCCCGCCAGGTTTCAAATCTCTTGCCGCTTTTTTTAGCCTTCGAAGGCTAAATAAAACGGTTAACAGTTTTGGAATCGAAAAATTCTTGTAATAGTCACTGAGGAATTGAAGCATCTAGATCCAAAAAGGTGAAAAAATGTCCTTAATGAGGAGGAAGGACTAGGTGTGCTTAGCATCGACTCTAGCAAATTTACCGACGCTTTTAGAATGATATCAGACTCTGGTCTCCTTCCGAAGCTTTCCTTCCGAAAGAATTTATCGCAGCGTTGTTTATTCCCATTCCTCAAGCAGCTAGACGAAGTTCTCCTATGGTGGCTCGTCTTTGTTCGTTTTGCATATCCGGAAATGTTCGGGCGAGTTGTCCGTCTCACTAACCGTTTCCACATGCTCGGACCCAGCATCTCCACACATCAGCTCAACTCCCAGTAGTGGACTTATGATGACGTATGAGTGCCTGAGGCTCGCAGATGTGTAAAACGAAACGTATGCGAATACAATGCTCCCTTGAGTAGGGACGCGTGTAGCGCGGTGTGCTAGCGGCGCGATCGATCCCGCGTCCCAAGCTCAGAAGGCCTTCCATTCCTCCTAGGTTGATCGGAAAATTGATACCAGACTTGTGTGGAAGGATATCGTCACAGGCTCGATACATTGGTAGACCACCGCGAATCATCGCATAGGCCAGATATGCATGCAATCATCTCTAGCGATGCTTAATGAAATTGAATGAATGGCGTCCCAATCAGGGATTGATCAATGTTGAGGGTTTTATCTCTTTTATCTTTCTACTTTGACTACGTTTCTTAGCAGTAAAAAACCTTATCTTAACACTTTGATTTCGAAGCTCTTTCTCACCAACTGTTAATAGTTTTCCGATAATTATAGCGCTTGATGAATTCAGACACTTGGTCGATTTGTAAAACAGAATCCCACCTGTAGTACATTTTTCAAGAAAGTCATTTTAACTCGTATATAATTCTGAGATATTTGCAAAACTCCGTACTGCAAGTGTATGCGGTGGGAAACGAACGCGCCCTATTGTCCTTACTGGGGAGTTGCGCACTTCACCACCACACCATCCGGGTCCTTAGTTTTGCCTGTCTCTCAGCTAGTTCTATTGATCTTTTGCCATCAGCAATCACCCGTCAATGGGATTGATCTGGGGAGCCCAAATCGGCATTGAACCCAGTTAAGCTGAGGCTTAGTTACAATATATATATACATATATATATATATATATAATGGCAAAAGATCAATAAAACTAGCTGAAAGACATGCAAAACGAAGGATGCGGATGGTGTGGTGGTGAAGTGCGCTACTCCCTGGTAAGGACAATAGTGCGCGTTCGTTCCCCACCGCATACACCTGTGGTCCGAAGTTTTGCAAATATCTCAGCATTGTATATGAGTTATATTTCGCAACATACCCTGCCGTTAAAAAGAAAAAGGCAGTAAATAAAAGGGTTAAGAAAGTCATTTTATTTTAAAAGTAGTTTCGAATCTAAAATTCTAAGATCTAGAAACTGAAACCTAAATTTTTGAAGTTCCTCCTATATGACCGGCAGTCACGACCGTCTATGTGGTGGTTATAGCCGCGTCGTATGAATAGAATTCAATACACATCGGTCTTTAGGTGAGCGCACTATTGATCTGACTGATCACCGCGATAATAGCCGGATCTATCCTGCTTAAAGCTACAATTAACTAAAACATCAAATTTTAAATTAATTGCTTCTTCGAAATTTGGTGTAAGTATTGTTCATCGAGGAGTTGACACCAACGGGTTCACAATAAGCTGAATACACGACTTATTTTTGGGATTAAAATTTGAATCAGATATTAACTTTGTGCTTACAGGACGCTAACTTCAGACTGTAATTCGAAGGCGTTAATAATCTAATGGTCCCAAAACAATTGCTATTCGACCAATGGTTTACTAAAACTTTTTGTCTTAAATGCTGAAATATGGGAGCGGATAGCGCAGTCGCAGCGATCCCGTTCTTTGTTCGTTGATGTCAGGTTGTGTAGTCACTTTAATTATTTATTTGTTTATATGACTCGCAATCACATCTACTGTGCGGATCCCAGCGCTTCTCGCACTCGATTTGTTACTTCGTCTTCATTGCCCACAAAAGTTTTCGAACATTTCTCATGTTGTTTTGGCTGTTGGTTGAGGATTTCTCCTTCTCTGTGAGTGTTGTAGAATTCATGTCGAGGCGTTCCCACGTGGAGAAAGCCCTAGAGTGAATATCCCAGGACTCCATGGGAGGTCTGTTCGACTTGCATTTAATAGTATTCATAAAGAAGACCAAGATCCTCAATCAGAAGTCAAGGCAGTCTGTGGTTCCAGAGAATTTAGTGGATGATGATCTTAACTTAAAAAAGCAGATAGAAAAAGTGCTAGGGTCCCAAAATATGTGATGTCAGGTCATGAAAAATATATAGCAGATGAAAGATAAAGCGTCCAGTGTTGTTCATTCCTGACGGATGTGCCATTCAATCAAAAATTCCTACCGCTGGTTCTACGAGTGACAATTATCTAACTTGGAATGACCCTTCGAATCGTTACAATTTTGTAGCGAAGACACTTAGAAGAAAAGCCATGCTTATTTTTAGGGCAATTTTTCTGTTCAGTAGACTGCTTTTTATTTGACACTGCAAACAGGCATACCTTTCTCAAAGAAGCTTACCGATGTATCAAGTCACTGTTTTCATAATTCCAGACAAATCTGGTACCAATTTACCGCTCTTGGAAAGAGAAGAGGCTTGGGTTAACCAGAAAGAGAGCCAAACCTTATTTCTCGAAAGTGTTCAGCTAATTAATGTTCCCAACAAGGTAGTTTTTATCTTGCTTTTGCAAAGACCAGCAGCATTTTTAAACTAAATTAAGGAAAAAAAAACTTTTACTGCATCATTGTTAAGCATGGTCAATAAGATACGTTACTGAGCTATAGTGTCAGTGAACACTGAGAGGTGCTTTGCAAACTAAACGATAGATGTTTTCTGTTAGCGGGGATACATTCCAAATCTACGTTTCAGGTGCTTCTTGTGGTAGGCCTACGTCCCTGTCATTTTAAAAATTCCAAGTGTTGATTGAAGAATAGGAAGGATGTCGCTGTTCTAACAACAATTGACGAGAGCTCTTTAAGTAGAGCATTTTTTTGCTAGTCAGTCTCCTTTACTACGAATGTTCATAGGGTTCGCGTCAAAGGTGACTTTAGGACAAGTCCATGAAGAAAATTGAACTCACCCAGCTTGTGTGTGAGCAATTCAAGGCGGTGTTTGCAATGGGTCGGAGGCAGTGCTGGCTCCTGTTGCAATGTTCGGGAGGCAAGCGCAGCAATTGCCTCCGGAATTTGCTCCCTCATCGCCAGCGCTGTTGTAATATCTTTGTCAGCCCTCCACTGACCCACCAAAAGTCGCACCGGCCCGTTTCCTTTACAAGTTAAGATTTCTGTCCTTTTGCGGGTTAATTCTGCAATGCCCGGGATTTTCTCGTGGAAGAATCGAATTCTTGGCCGGAAAACTCCCGAACCAGAGAGAGCAAAACATGTGACGGTGGTAAGTGAGCCGCTCGACATGGATTTGCATAATCAAGCACCGAGAAGGAGTGTCCGCTTCAATGACACCCGGAATAAATTCGGCCAATATAATGTTTCCGAGTGGCAGAACGAATACGGTGAAGTGCGTCTGATTGGTTCAGTCGCCCACAACAATAACAGTGGTGAGTTTCTAAACAAATTCCTATCTATTCTTCCACTGTTGTGTTGAATTTTGGTGCTAGATATTTGTTTCTTTGTGGCTCCTTGGTTGGCATGTATTTAAAGCCTACAAATGCTTTCATACATCAAACATCTTAATGCTATCCACTACTTCATGGAACTTTGCGCACTACGTGATGCACTAACACCTGGGTAATGGTTGTGCACCCATTTCGTGTGACGCACTAAAAGTAATCGAGTCCATCATGTCCAGAGCAGCGCTAGGAATTTCTGTCAGGGTCAATCATGTAGCGCAAAAGACCAATGTGGGGCTGTAGTTCGAGCTACGAGCCAGATAGTGAAATGAACAGTTTGTTCTATTACATAATTCAGGTAATCTTTTTATTGCAATATTACATCGAAGTTTTCATTCCTGGAGTGGTTCAAAAACCTCTATCAAATCTGAGCACAAACATGAGTAGTTCGTTTCTTTACAACATCCATTGCATTTTGAGAATTCCTCTACTAGTAATCCGATATCTCGCTCGTTGTGGGCTAAATTCGTTTATTTTGATGCACTGAAGAAGCCTTGAACCATGGCTAACTACGAAAATTCACAATGGTTTTTCCCTCATTAGATCCAATCCAGGATGTTCAAACGCTTTTGTGTATCGTTAGCTACATCTCAGCTTCTATTTGAACCAAAAGTTAAAATAAGACGTCGTATTCCGTAATAGGCGAACATCTTTAAGCGAAATGTTTCATAAGTGATATACGTGTTTTTTGGAAATAAAGGCTTAAATTAACTACATTGAGCTGTCTAAATGGAATACTCCTCATCTTGTTCCACCACAAATCTCCTCACCAACTGAAAGAATCTCGCGTGATTGAGCGCGTCGTTGCTTTAGGGTAGTAGGAACAAACGTATGCAAATGAGTGGTGGCACCAATAGTGCAAGCACGGTATTTTAAAGAAGATAACTCCACTTGGCCATCAGTTTTACACTTATTGGCTGAGATATCAGCAGCAGTTTATTAGGCCTATTCGTTGCTGAAGTAGCACACCAAACAGTAGAATTCTGGGCAGTGTATTCACTCAGTGACCGAATTCTGCGAGTGTTCCTCCATTCAACTCTACTCTATGTGCTCAGTCTGAGACACGTCTACTGACAAGTGTGCACCTGCAAGTTGACAGATGCGTTCGCGATCGTGGCTACTATTTATTAAGATGTGAGTCGGAATCAAAATAAACCTGTGTTACTACACGATCAGCGAAAACCAGAAAATCCTCCCAATTCACCTGAGACAATATGAGCGGGTTGGAAAGGAAAGTCTGTTGGCGAAATTTTATTTTTTTTACAAGATTCTTAGTAAAATGTTAGTGATTCTCTACCATAAGAAGAAATTTCAGGTATGGAGAAATGTGAGCAACCGTCTTCGAACTGGAGATATGCCGAGTCGTCGGCATTCCGGATGGCGATGGTGCCGTTAGCAACACCGGAGGTGATTGCTGACGAACCACCACCGGCGCAACACTATAGCACACAGGTCTCAACCAAAGCTGGTCATGCATTGCAGCTTCTCCGTGAACGAGTAAGTTTGCTCTATTGATTTTGTTTTTTTTGGAAAGTCGAAGAGTTGTGGATGTTCTGACAAGCTGATTGAAACATTATACTTTCACGTGATTTCTGTGCGGTTGGTCTCTACGTGACATACTTAGTGGAAACCTCATAGAAAGCGGCTCTGAAGAAGGCGAAATCCGCCGAAACGTCAGCTCATTTGTGAATAAAGAATAATAACACCTCGCGTTTGCTCAACAAAAATACGAAGAAAATCGTTGATTGTAATTCGCGATGAAGAAATATGACTCCGTCGGCGAAGTACGTTGCATCGTCTACAATTCATCTTATGCACGCAAAGATTTATTGATGCGCCGTAAGAGGAAGGACGGTTCAGATGTAACGTATTAAGAAAACATGTGTAGGATATAAGAATATTTGGTAGAGCACTTAGTGGATGTTCGAGGTACGGTGTCGTCAGTCAAAGTTCCCAAATTAAATACGAAGTGCGTTTGTCCGACGATCAATCTTGCGCTTAACTTCTTGACAAATTTACAGTTGCTCACGTGGAATCTATCCCTCCATCATCAACTGGTTTCTGTGGGAATTTCACTACGCCACCGTGTTATCGTTTTCACGAAAGCGATGTGGTAGGATGACCCTCGAATGTCCACCGTTTCAATAAACGTCCTTTCCAGCGATCCTTTTCCGTCGTGGGGAACGTCAAAAAGATTGACATATGGTGCGAGTAATCTGCTACACATCGGTGCGAAATTGACTATAAATCTCGAATCATTATGTATTCTTTCTTTGATGAGCTTACACGAGGTTGATAATGATTCGAATTCGAGAAGATGGCTCACTGAGGAAGACCTGACTCGACACGAAGGCGAAGCTACAACGTCGAGACGAACAACAAGCATGGATCATCGACTCGGATCATCGGCTCTGAGGAAGACGAAGACGTCGAAACGTTAGCCGAATATAAATAAATGTCATTATCAACTTCGTGTAAGCTCATCAAAGAAAGAATACATATTGATTAGTGATACCGAGGTTCAAGGAAAGTCGGTTTCGGAATATCACGAATCATTCTGTATTCATTTGCTTCAACGAAAATCAAGTCGCAGGTGGTCTCACAGCTAAAACGACTGTTTTCCTGGTAAAACCAGGTCAGTACGGAGGGAAGAGTGGCAATATTTTCCGGAGATTTCACCAATAGCAACTCAATTAAAATATACTTTTTCCCAGTACAATACAGGACCGAGCCCTAACTTTTTATTTACCATCTATTCGTTTTTCATGGTAGGGTATTATGTGAAATATAGCCACAAGGATGTTGAGCTGTGAGCAAAATCGGTGCCAAAGTTGGACTTCGAACCCGTGATTACCGTAATCGGTGGCTCGCGTGCTATCCATGGACCATTTATTGGATGGAGGGTTAAGTCGAGATGAAAATTGTCTTTAATCTAACTACTCATTACACTTATCTCATGTACACGTATTTTATTGTCTCGTCTTTAGTTTGAGAACACTGGGCGATTTGGGACACTACTTAACACATTTCATCACATTTGCCATTCTATTTCAGAGTGATCACGGGAGTTCTCATGAAGCGAGACGGACCACGACATTTCCACCCGTAGCAGCCCGTCCGGTAACCCCGGTGATGAGTATTCCGTCGGAGTACGGGATGAACTCTTCCAATAGGTGGGAAGTCGTCCGTAAAGAACAATTGAATGGCGATTTTGGCTCTATGGGGCGACGACTGGAACAGATGAACGTCGTTTTCCTGCAGGCAAATGACGAGGTCAAACGGACCATTCTTCCACCAGAGGTTAGGCTTTTTGTATTGTAAGTGACATTTACGCAATCAGATTGAAAGATCGATGGATAGAAATTCTTTCAATATTTCGAGAATATGCCATTAACCCATAATGCCAGTGTACCGCATTTCTCAGTTGGCCCAATCGCTCACGGGTAGTTTTTCGTCGGTTGCGGGCCTTCTGGGTTTTTTGACAATAAGAAAGTGATTTTCCAATAAATAGAGTGCTTTAGTGGGTATAACACAACAGAGCTGTAAAAGATACTTTGTGTGTCGTTCGTGAATGATATGCATGCTACTATTTACTGTATGTCTTACTGTGTGTCGCCATTGCCCAAACGCACTGCTATCAGCATTTGGGATATTTTGAACCCTGTGTCGACTCCATTTCGGTGTTTTCTTATCCAAAATTTCATAAGATGGCCATAGCGATTTAAATGAAAGAAGGGTTAGCTGCCAGTCCAATTATCGGTCAACGAACCTTTTCGAAAGAAGGGTTTTTGCAAATCGTTAGGTGTAAAGAATGGCCTTTCCGATCCTACCTTACTCCTACTAATTGGATCTGCTTTCGACTATCCATCGAATGAGCACATAGTGCACCGAGAAAAAAACTCCGGAAGCCACTAAACTCAATATGGACACTATAGTGTCCATAGGGTCGCTTGCTTCAAACCACTGAGGGCACTATAGTGCAGATGCGGAGCGTTATAGGTTAAATTGGTGATCATTCAAAGGGAGAGATAAAGAGAGATAGAGGGAGAGAGAGGAAGGGATACTTGGGACGAATGTTCCATTGTTTTAACAATATCGAAGGATGTTGAGTGCTATATATAAGACCAATTCAATGCAGAACTTTTTCAAGTCTTTCTTTTTGACGTTTCGACTCTAGAAGCGATCGATTCGCGGTACACTGTTGAATCGAAAGTACAAGAGATAATCTCAGGATGCCAGAAACTTCCACTAGATTTTTTTCGAAATTTCCTTTTGCTAAGATTAGCGGCAACACTTAATAAACTGATGAATAACCATTTGCAAATCATTTTGTCTCCAGGTACGCAGTCTTGAGCAAGTGAAGATGGCATTCGTGAGAGCATTCCCGAACATTCCGAGACACTATATCGAGCAGCCATCGGTTAAGATCTACATACAGGAACCGTCCAAAGGACAGCTGTTCTATGAGCTCGACGATCCAAGGTAAGGTCTCCACTTGCGGTGAATTCAAAATGTGTTCCTGAGAAAAATCCAAGTGTATCACCTCTGCAGTCTGATTCTTTCGCTTTCTCCAACACATGCAGAGCTGCTAACGCAATTCTACTGGCAGCCTGAGAAAAGATTTGCAAGGTCGTGTTTACAGAGTGCGGGTACATGCCGTAAAATGAAAAAAAAGTGATAGAGCAATCTACTATTCATTTACATCGTCTCAGTTTGCTCTCTTCATTTTCCCCGAAATACTTATATTAACTACCAAACCGACTACCGTACCAGTCTCGAAACGTAGAGTCAAGAATTTTTCTTATTCGGGAATTTTGTCATTCTCAATTGCAAATGTTCATATGTCAAAGGCTAGTCTAATCTGATGATAATGCACTCTCTTCTAAGTGTGAAGCAAGTAATTCGTATGAACCTTCAGGAAAATTTTCACTTCTGTTTCTCTAGCCGTTTCAATAGTGACGCTGAACGAAGTAGTTTTCTGTCGCCTCGAGCGCTAAGTCCTGCTGGTGTCCAAAAATCTGAATAAGCTTTCTCGGTTTATGTTTCTTTTTGAACTGCGCGTGGTTGTATCAAATCCGAATGGAAATAGATGCCAGGAATATATTGTGAGAGGTTCGGAAATGAGGCCAGTCTCAGCCTTTGCATGCTTTAGGACAATGAGTGCGCTGGGCTGCCGTTGTAAGAAGGCATAGCGCTGTCACTTTAAAATAGCTCTTAACAGTTTCTCTATTGCTCAAAAGATCTCCAGCGAAAGAGTTCATTAATTCGAAAATAGACGAAGTTTCAGCGATATTCGGAACAAGTCCGTACTGAAGCTCCGAGACCACACGAACACCGGCATGCAATCTCCTGTGCGATTTCTCGACCAACGAGACTTCCTGGCTGATTTTGAAAGTGACATTAGTAGACAGAGGTTCGTTTTGAAGTTTAAAGTTTTAGGTAGCCTACAGCTGGACCACGACTACAAAATCTCAATGGAAGCATAAATTCATAACGGGTCGTGTCCTCACCAGTTGTTCTCAGGCTGGGGAAATTGTCGCTTCCCTCATAGAGCTGTCGACGCTGATCATTCAAATTCGACCTGCAGAAAATAACACTGACAAAAATAGTGGAAGTGACAAAGCTTTTTATTTGGGAGGCCAGACTAAAGGATTGAGTCGCTTGTAACATGTGCTTCCATTTCACGTTTTGAATGGTTTTGCCTCAAGCATTGTTAAACAGTTTTACGGAACCTTTTTATTGCGCTGTCGCGTTTATTGATGGACAGCACTTTGCCCGAAAGTTGTTCTCTATGCACGGCCGCAACGTCATTACCAATACTAAACACATGGAAGCTAGTTTTACAAAGAAAAGACAAACATATATTCCGTGTAGCGAGCAGAACTCATTGGGTTACTCTTGCACGCGACAGGGAAAAATGGAAGATTTACTCGAGTCACTCGAGCGGGCGCCAGTAAATCTTCCATTTTTCCCTGTCGCGTGCAAGAGTAACCCAAGAAGTTCTGCTCGCTATACGGACTTGTTGCGCATCATCCCTTTCTTCTAGGCTTTTCGTGAATAACTCTGGCCATCGGGTCATTGGTTTTCATGCAGCACGTTCGACATCTCCGACCTACTTTATCTTCGACAATTTGGCGTATAGAACGGCGTCTTTGATTTTTGATCGTTGACGTAGGTATGATCTTTGGATTCCTTTCCTCAGTCGCCTGACACCGGATACTGGTAGCATCGTCCTTTCGACTGCGCGTTCAATAACGCTGATCGAACTTCCATCCTGCCTACGTAGCGACCAGGTTCCAGGCGTATACATTAAGGCAAGAAAAATCATTGAATCGAAAACGTGGACATAGAGATGCGCGTTTTCTGTTCTCTTCACTACGTTTGCGATGTTCTTGTAATTTCTCCAAGCCGTCCGCTTCCTCCTGCTCAACTCTGAAGCTAGGTCGTTCATCACATTGACTTCCCGACTGACTAGAGCACTCGGACGTGTTCATTCCATTGAACATGAATGGGCATACGAAATCAATCCGTTCCTCATGAACATCGCTTTTGTGAGACTTAGTCGAAGACCAGTCTTTCCACAGGCTTTATCAAAGGCGGCAAGCATACGTTCCGCTTGACCAATGTCTAGTGCTATAAGAGCGATGTCATCAGCAAAGCGATGATGGTGCAATTGCTGGTTATCGATTTTTACTCCCATCCCATGTTGTTCAATTCTTGTGTTCGAATGACGTTCTCCAGCGTGGCGGTAAATAATTTTGGTGAAATGGTATCGTCTTGCGTGGCCCCTGCTTCGACGTTGACGTCAATATCGTTGTAAGATGGTAATGTCTTGATTTATTCAAGAACAAGCTGACGTTTCGGCGGATTTCGCCTTCCTCAGAGCCTGGAAAGGTCAAGTTGACCACAGTCTACCCAGCCAAACACTTCCATAACCAAACAGAGAAAATGCTAAACCAAGATTTCAATCATATTGAGCACAGAATGGCTTCATCGCATACCTACCGCTTTCTATGAGTCTTTCACTGAATATGTCTCGTGGAGACCAACTGAACAGAGTTTACATGGAAGCGCAATGTGCCTCTCACATCAAAACAATAAAATATTCTGAGCTCTGAAACGTGGGGAATGGGTATACTCACGGGTAGCTTGCCACTCTCTTCTAGAGCAGATGGGGAACTTATTGGTTGGAGGGGACTCCTAACTGCCTCCCATATACTTCTCTGTCAGTTGATTGCAGGGTTTTGGCCAAACTGACTCGTAGAATACAATCCCTATAAACTTGAACGGACCCACACATCCATGCATGAATACATCCTCGTAAATACAGAAGGCATGTGTCAAATCGTTGCAGGATAGACAAGAAGCCCATCCCTGTAATCCACCTACATCTCAGCGAAGCACAGGTGGCTTCGGTCCTCGATTAACCCTTTACCCGCCACCCAGGAACGTCCTGGGTTACTTCGCGATTGACCAACTATATTTATGTATATATATGTATATATATATGTATATGTATATATAATGGGCGCGTTTAGCACAGTGGTTAAATGTTCTCTGCCGTACACACAGTATTGCTCTGTGGTTCGATTCCACTAGGTTCATCAACTTTCCATTTCTCTGTTAAGCTTGTGTGGGAAGGTGAAAACACGTACTCGATACACCGTTACACCACCGTGAATCACTGCATAGGCCGGATAGGCATTCAGTCAACTCTAATGATGCTTGGTGAAGTCGAATGTATGGCACATCTCTAAGAGATTGATTAACGCTGCAAACTTTGTATTTTATATTCTACATGTTTTACATGACACTACGCAACATCTTTCGCAGATCCTGGCACTTCTTTCATCCGATTTTTTCCTTAACACTCACTATCTACAAATGTCCTTGGATTTGCTTGCTAGTTTTACTTCTGCTTGAAGAGCTTTGTCTTCTTTTGATGTCATCATATGCTAGCTCACTAGGCTTTCCATGGAGACATCCGTTCTAGGGTTTTTCTAGGGCCTTACCACCGACCCCTGTGGATAGCACCTATCAAGGTTCTGACTCGAGAGAGGCGAGGGTTGGTTGAAATATGTATGGGTGAGTGTACCTATGTATGCCATACATATTTATATTTCATACACGCATATATATATATATTGCGATATAAATACGTATGGAGGTGCTGAGATATGAGCATGATTCGGAAACTCAGCTAGGCTTCGAACCCCGGATTATCCTTTCCAGGGACACGTGTGTTATCTACTGTGCCAATGGAGGAAACTCCTGCTTTGGCTTTCTCTTAGCAAGTTTTTTTTTACTCTAACGGTGCTATCATCGGTCAAACGTCAAATGGAATGGTTTGCTGAGAAATCGTCATTGGACCCAGGTAGGCTGAAGCTGCAATGAAAATCACAATCGAAATCGAAACCAAGCCCTCCTACGCATTTAACAGTGTACTCAGCCATGGAAAAGGACTAGGTAAAAACAAAAGTGAAAATATTAATATGCACATTGCACATGTTTAATATATCGTTCTATATCTGCATGTTTGTAATGCGTATATGGGGTAGGTATATCGCAGTGGTTAGTGATGCTGTCGATCCCGAAGCAAAAGCCCTTTCTCCAATCCCCGCCCCAACACTCCTCCAATCCACGTGGGAACACGTTAGGTCGGCTATCTTCAAGTTCGCAAGGAAAATTGAGTCGACCAACATTCTACGAAAGTTATAAAAAAGACGAAATTTTCAAACAGCAGCTGAAACAACACGCCGGCTGTTCAAAGACCACAATGATACTAAGATATTTGCAAAACTCCAACTGCAAGTGTCTGCGGTGGACAGCGAACGCGCTTTTACCCTTTCCGGGGGCTAACGCATTCACCACTACACCAAACGGTTCATTCGTTTGGCCTGTCTCTCTGGCTAGCTCTATCGATCAGTGCCATCAGCAATCACCAGTCAATGGGATTGTGGTTGTATCACATATAACACGCTACTGTGAAAAATTGTATTAGGCAATAAATAAAAAGGTTAACATTGTTCGAAGACCATTGTGGATGTTAGATACGAGGAAAGGCATCAAATGCAAGAAGTGTTGTCATCCGAGTGGTGAATGTGATGGCGGGTCGTGTCAAATGTAAGAGTAAAAGACATTGTATCAAGAATGATATTCCACGTTAAACTGTCCACTATTTTTAAATAACTCGTATTCTCCAATTTTGAAGAACCTCATCGCTGTAAAGTACCTGACACTCTTACTATTGAGTCTTCACGTAAATCTCTTATTGTCAGAAAAGGGAAAAATTTGAGGGTTGGTGAAGAAAGAATGGCGTTCATTTCAGATGCCTACCACAGACTCGTCCAGCATCAGCTATGGCACACTCAGACTGTCGCAAAATTTCACATAAACCATACGATCCGTATGACTCAACAGGAAGCGATACAAGTAACAACGACTCGAGGTGCCCGACACGCAGTGGATCGGCCACACCGGTTATCGACAGGGAATCTAGGTAGGACCAATGCTATTAACAAAAGAATAAACATACGTCATAGTAACCTATGCCCAAATTTAGACAAAAGACACTTGGGTACCAAAAAGCCTTTCTTCTCTGTTTCCTACAGTATTCTTACTGAATGAAAGTGCTGCGAGTTAAAGCTGCCATTCTTTTCCTTATTTGTTGTATTTTAAATCGGAGCTTCAACGGCGAGAATGCTTAGCGATTACTATAGTCGCAGATACACTCTCTAAATGTTGCCATGAAGAAATTCACCGAAGTTCTCATTTGTTGTTAGAATCGTCGGGTTTCGCACATTTTTTAACTCGTGTAGATGTCGACAGTGAGATAGGCTATCTGCACCATTGATAACTAACTCACAACTCCATTAAGACCGTCGAGATTCTTTGAATATGCCTATAGTTTTCAAACCGGTCGTTGCTTCAAGAAACTTGAAAGTTGGACTTCCTTAAAACACAGACCGATAACGACAGGATGGGGAACTAATCAAGTATCCACACCAAAACCATATTTTGGGCTAGGATTTCTCCAATTACAAATCTACTCGATAAAATGGTGGTGGAAACAAAAACTTCTCGTTAAAATAGCTATTACAACGATTTGTACAAGTAATAGAGTTCAACTCACTGAAGTTGTTTTTTCTTGGTAAATTTTTCTGATGTGGTTTGGTTACGTTTCATTTTAGACAAGGAGCGCTGATATCACTACAGCTGTCACTGGTTTACTTCTTGAATCTTCTTTTGCCACTCAGTTGTGCTGATTTACTTATTACAGCGATGGAGCTGCAATAGTTTTCCACAGTGGACCACCCATTTTCAACCCCACTTACTAATGTGTTCGTCCCCACTGTTCTCAGTAAAAGTCGAAAGCTTAAACACCTCTAGATCAATTAGGTTTTAATGAACTTCTTCTTACAATATAGGAAAATTTTAATGAGCCAAATGTGAAGTGGTCAGGTTAATACCTCGCTCACAACCTAAATACGTCCGGTATTGAAGTAGGACTATGACTAAGGATGTGTCGATACTCATGGAAGTGAATGATGCGCATTATTTCAATTGAATTTGAAGTCTTCTTGTATTTTTAAAAGAGCAATGCTTTTCTTTATTCGTATAGTTTTGTGCATGGATGTGAATGAAGTCCAAATGTTCGAGCCGAACTGGAACACTAGTGTCCACCGCAAGAATATTTCCCTGGTGACTCTTTGTGAACGATGTTCACCTACGTTTTACTTCTAAAGTCCAGGCGTTTACACAAAACCGCTGGTCAGCAGTTTGGCTATTTTTTTAAAATCAATCTTTGTTATTCGTCAGTTCCTTCGTCTTCTTGCCACCAATAATACATGTATTGCTACAGCTCAATTGCATTTTTAGCTTCAATCTGACAAGTTGAGACTCCTTTAAAAATTTGGCTAGAAAACATTTTTGAGCTTTATATTCGAAGAAGAGAGTCAAGTTAATGTATAGTTCAATATTTCACCTTGATGTGAAGTTGGATTTATGTCGCACAGGGTTCGAATGGAGACGATGGAACGTCAGCTGGCCGGCTTGTCCAGCCTTGTGCACTCAGCATTGGTTAGCAAAGGAATGAGTGAGAGCAATCGAAAACACATGGCTGATCTCCGAAGAGAGGTAGGAATTTGTGACTCCTATCAAGATGGCTTTGAGATCACTCAGTTCGATATCAAGCCGCTGACTGTCTGTTTTTTAAGCAGACTGTATAAGCATGATTTCGTCCAGCAAGACATAATGATGTCCCGCAATGTGTCGCTGATGTTTATAGGTCCCGCGATTGCATGAAAAATTTTAAGATTTAAGTATCACTCTCTATCCTTTAAAGAATTCGATTTTGAACAAGCTCATGCATGACTGAAGTGACACTGTAGAAAAATTCCGCTTACGCCTAAACAGAGAGAACAAAATCTCTATCATAGGTCGACCAAGTTCTCAACTTCCCTGGTTATCGAAGAGTTACCGGCAGTTGTCGAAAAGCCCGCTTGGTCGCAAAAGCGTTCAAATGGATATCAATTTCGGGTTCTTCGAAGCCACAGTTTAATTTAACACAGTTTAGCACCATTGAGTGCACGGTTCAATTGTACCGGCCGCAAGTATGTATTAAAGCGCGACAGAAATCTCGTTTACTAGCTACTTCCTTCTAAGTAGTTAAAGAAGATTACAGCTTTAAAAGTGGCACCCTGTCCTGAGAAATCTGGATTTCGACAGATTTCAGTGATTGACTTCAGATCATGGCGCTGCACACGGACTCCGAACGAGCCGCCTCGGAAGAGCCGCCGTCACTGCCGGACAGCGTATCGACACACGCTCAGCATCAACTCGAGCACATCCGCCACAAGCTCCAGCAGGCTAGCACCGACATGAAGCAGTTGCGACGCACCGCACAGGTTCGGAAGTAGCGTTGCAGACGTATTCCTAGGTCATTTTAGGCAGTTTTCATAATCTATGAGTTCGCTTTACGACATCAGCATGATTCATGATCATTCACTATTGAGTGTTAATGTGCTCTGAAGGGTGCCTGTTCAACAGCATAAAGAGCTGATAGATGTTTACAGATCAAAGGAGATTCTATTTCAACAAGTTTGTGTTTTCTCGATGAGCAGATCCGAGTTTGTTAATGCTCCACATCGACTAACGTTTTGGCCAATTTTGCTCTCTTTAGAGCGTGAATGGGGACATATTGATACGAAATCTACTCAGCTTAATGCTTTCATAACCCGAAAAGAAAAACTTAAAGCTTTGATTTATATTGCATGGAAGAAAGCTTCTTTTAAAGATTCGCCGTTTTGTTCTTCATAAATCTTCCAGTTAGTTGACAGAGGCCAGGTGCACAGAGTCGCCCATGGGTGAAAAATGTGCCCGGCTCAGATCAAAAAATCATCCAAGGCTATGGCGCGAGGTCATGCGGATCACAAGGCGTTCCTCTCTGCGATTGGTCTTTGGGTTTTTGAAATTTATGCAAAACGCTTCAAGAGTCTTGTGCGCAAATGTTCCACATTCTTGTGTTCCACAATAAGGACACAGTGCGATCTAAGGGTGCTTGCCTCCAATGCTTTAGAGATATCAGGTACACCGTACCACATTTAATTCATTTACCGTTTTTGTCTTTAGGACAAGTCGTTCGTCCTTCACAGACGATCACACAAGCGTTTTTGAATTAGCTGACGACTCAGTGTTCGGTAGTGCAATCACTTCCAGCGACTCCACTTAACATATTCTTCTTCAGACATCGCTTTATACCCATGATTCACTTTGTTGAAGTTGCTTGAAAAGGAGCACTTTTGTTCCAAAGGACTTATTCTAGGGAGAGGGAAGAAGGTGCATTACACATGGCTCGATCCCGCGCCTCCAACTCAGCAAACTCTTCAATTTTGCAGACAAGGCAGACAAATCAGAGTTATCTGGGAGGATAACGTTACTGGCTTGCTACATCGTTAGTCCATTGCAAGTTATTGAATAGGACACATTTGTGTTTAATCTAGTCTGGGATCCTGGTGAAGTCAGATGCATTTCTCACCTCTCAGAGATTGATAAATGCAACGAGCTCTATCCTCTACCCCCTTATTCTTTGATGGCTCAGCTTTACCTCTGAATCTCTTCGAAGCAGCCAATGTGTCATAGCCATTGGAAATAGGTATTTGTCACGTTAATTTAAATGAATCCTCTTTTCGCTCTCTTCCTGTGCAAATATTGGTGGCTGTAAGAAGCATGTCTCCACAAGCACCGTGTTTTAGGGGTGAGAAGACAGGTGATGAACCACTGTTTTTGTCACTTAGTTTTCTGTGTTACACAACCGTTTTCGAATAGGTTAATTTTTACGTTCAAAAATGAAAAATAATTTTTCCCATTTTCTCCAGGGGAATTTTATGTACTTTGACTGTTCGTTCAACAACTCGAAATATTTGTTCATAGTAGACGACATAACAATCACCGACACGCCTACAATAGCGCAGCGCGCTGATAGCAGACCTATTACTGGGGGTTCTGTTCTAGATAGGAACGAAGTGGCAAGAATTGTTGCTACTTACTGTCTCATTGTCAACTCTGTAATCCGTGCATCATATTTCCCCGGCCGTCTGAGGATTGAGCAGTTCAGATACCCCTCTAAGAGGGCCATGAGCTGCTTAATCGAGAAGCTATAGATGTCTGTTGCTCCTTCGTGTTGCGTAAGGAGTTCGTGGACGACTTGCATTGTGGAGACATTGGACACGCTTGCGTAAAGAGTGGTGACGTCAAATAACCTCAACAAGTACGCGCTGCCTGGCGACACGTTACACAGACGATCCAGAAACATCTGGGTGTTCATCAGCTAGGCTGGGATATGTTTGAGCAACTGAACATCCGCACGTAACATCACGGCTCTGAGGAAGGCGAAGTCGCCGAAACGTCAGCCATCGATCAATAACATCAAAAACAACGACAACGACAACGAAGACCTGTACCAACCTCGCCTCAGTTTAAGGAGATTAGTTTATAAGATCACATAAATAAATATATCAACTGAACAAATATTAAGTTTGTAAACCACGTTGGCGCGTCCACAAATCTGATGATAGGCCTAATCCTCGTCGACTATGGATTGCTACACTGGATGCCAACTTATGGGTTTTTGTAAGTAACTGCAATACGGAACAATTGGTAGATCGCCTTTCAATAGTCCGTCACGGATTAAATAAATGGACACCTACGATGCTATAAACTAACACTACCACATCTTTTGCCGTTGTGCCAACAGCAGCGCTCGCTTTAACGCTTCTTCATGTAGTGGACGATGGATCTCATCTAGCCGATTTCACACCTTTCTTCACTCTTGGTGAAAAGTCATTTTGCCCCACTTCAGCAAGCCAGATAACGATACAGATAGTTCCGCAGAGGTCTTGGACTCATTTTTTAATTCGCTTTTTCTAACACTTAATAGTTGGCAACTTTTAACAAGAGTTGGTCTTTTTTTTTCTTTTAACAGCGAAGCGACCCATTTTTTTCTCCAACGACATAACTAGCATGTTTTTCTTCTCTAGCGATTTTCTCTCCTCTCCTACTATTTTTCCTTCAGTCTGATCTGGAAAATGTTATTGTTTAGTTTTATAGTTCTTTTTCTTCATACCGCAAAATGGGATTTAGTTTTCCTCTAGATTCGAAACATGGAGGATTTGACACATATACATACACCCCTCACACACACACGCACGTACGCATGCACGTACGCACACATACACACGCACACGCACACACACAGATACGCACACGTACACGCGCACACATTCATACACACACACATGCATACACACACATACATACACATACACACACACAAATACACGCGGCACATACCCTGCAAAGCATGTTGACATTCGAACTTTCAACAAAATTATCAAATGTAACGTAATAGTAAAGTTATCGCTAGAACATTTATTTGGTCTTTATTACCGATTTAGGTAAAAGAATGAACGAAGTATAGCGAAATTACACTTCAGGTGAATGCTCAGCATGCACGAAATTACATACGCGAAGCAGCGGAAGAGATTATTCGACTAGTAAATCGGAAGGTTTCGCTCACGGTCTCACCTACAGAAGCTCTGTTGGCAAGTCTTTATTGCCATCAATTCTTTATACTCTACTAAGGTCGTCCACGTTGGATTTCCAGGCCATTGGGAATGAGTGCAATTCGTCCACGAAGGAGAACGAGACCAAAGAGCAAAGGAGGCATGAAGAGCGATTGATACGACTGCTCGACGGTCTCACGTACGTTGCCGTTGAATATTCGTCCAAACTGTCTCATTTAACGAAAATAATGAAATTCTCGTAAAGCTCGAGCAGTTAGTTTAATGTTCTATCCGAAACCTCGCACATCGTTTTCCACAACACTGCAATCCTTAAAGTAGATTTTACCATAGATGAGAGCACAGCACGACTGCTGTTTGACCATCGACGACGAAAGCACCTTATCGGTCATAGAGTCAGCCATTATGACACTGCACGTCGAAGGTGGTGCAAAACGTCTTTTCTCTGGCTTTTTCTAGCTCGAAATAGGCTTTACTTTGATATGGTATTAAAAACAGCTCCACCGCCAAATGTATGCTTTGTTTCGGGCACAGTTCAATATTGAATGGTAGTTCGAAATTACTTAAAGAGAATCATTATTCAGCAAAAAAGAAACTACGACAAGACTTATTATTACTGAATGGGCCATCATCACATTTACTACGATGATCTTGTCACTTCTTGCATTCGATTCGTTCATCTCGCATTCATCGTCCAGAAGATTCTTCCAATATTTCTCGAGTTGTTTTGGCCGCTGCTTGAGGATTTCGTCCTCGTTTGTATTCTTTATGAACGTCACAGGGTGCAGGTCGATCCGATTCTCTTTGCAATGTTGGAGATAGCCGGGCAAAAGTTTCCTATGTGGATTGGTGGTGAGTACTGAGAAGGAGATCGAAACAGCACCCTGCTATGATAGACTGCATCACTAACCACTCCGCTAGAATTCGTAACAGCACGCGTTTGTGAAGTGGGTAATGTCGAATAACAGCACAGGGAGCTTTTCGCCGAACGAGAGTGATGCTCGTCCTCAAAAGCCATTAACATAGGCTCTCCTTTGCATGCTTACTATGACAATTCTTCAACTTTCATCAACATTATCAAAGCTCCTACTTATTCCTACCCACTAAGAAAACGCCTCCCTCCCCACACTAAAAGTTTTCAATAACGACAAATCATGGAAGAACTTTACCTGTTGTTTTGTTCCCGAGGAGATAATATCATCATATTCCCTGGAAGTTTTAACGAAATCGAAGTCATGTCATTTTTGGCTCCGTAATTGTCATTTTGAGGAAAACGTGTGCTTTTTCTCAATGATACATTATAAAATGAAGTCATTTGTTGAAAGGTTGATGGTACACTCCTATAGGAAGCGACACCTCGTTCTTAACATTACGCTTGTGGTCACAAAGTTTCAGGAAGTTCGAGAATAACGTGGAGACTGTCAGGAACAGTGTTTTAACAAGCAACAGAAAGCTTAAGATGTCTGAGGTTGAACTACTCACAGAGGGTCTCACACAAATTGGAAGGGAAGCCGCATCTCTGAAAAGTCAGTTGCAACTTTTAGTAGCCGTGTCAGATGAGCCCAAAAATTAAGCGGCTTTTAGCGATGGTTACAGCAAAATGCAGTATTTTCCCCAAACTTTACACTAATTTTAACGTAACAATCCCTATTCATTTCTTGAAGATCGTTTTATTTAATTTCTCTGCTTCATTACAGCGGACTTCCCATCGATACAAGCTGGGATACAGTCAAGAATAAAGACAGACATGGAGAGGATCGTAAGAGAGGAGAAGTACATCCGTGACCAGACAGCTGTCATAGATCAGAGCCTCCGCAGGTACATATTCCTCCTTTTGTCTTTTCATATAGATTGAAATGAGATGATAAGTGTTTTAACTCAGATGTAAAGCACTGGCTAACATCATGGTGACGATGAAGAAACTTGCATTGGTCCAGGATACCACAATACACCGAAGCAAGATGGTGAATCTTATTCAGGATCTGAAATTTGACAAATTACGTGAAAACTGGCAGTTTTTGTTCCATGGATGTTGGTAGTGTACATGATCAGTTATTGAAGTCTTAGAGGTAATTCCTTTTTTAATTTCTGGCCTATACAATGACTCGCGGTGGCTTTCGATGTGTCGAGCCAGTTCTGCTATCCTTCCAGGCAAGTCTGGTACCAATTTGCCGACTATGGAGCAATGGAGGGCTTGGTGGGCCAGGGACGCGGGGAATCGATTCCATCTGTATTCCAAAGCACCTCCGACCAGTGCGCCGCAAGCACCCATTTACAGTATACTTGATAGTTGGTACTTGAACGGCCCGTCCTCACTAGTAGTGCGGGTCCCAGCATAATCACCACTTTTCGGAGATTTACTCGTTAAGCCATTGTGGTTCCCTGGAATCCCGCGGGCAACCTGGCCAAAGTCTGCCCCAGGTCGTCACCACTACAGGCAGTCGCAGTCCTTGTGGATCAGAAGGAGATTTACCACCACGTGACTTTGATACCAGGACGGTGGTGGATCCTGGTATTTTTTTACTCTTAGTTAGGCTTCCTGATAGAAACGCCGGACTACTTCTCAGTTTGGGAGACCCTACCAGGGGGACGAATCCATCCCCTTAGTTTGAATACTCTATACATCGTTACACCACCGTGAATCACTGCATAGGCCGGATAGGTCGTCACCACTACAGGCAGTCGCAGTCCTTGTGGATCAGAAGGAGATTTACCACCACGTGACTTTGATACCAGGACGGTGGTGGATCCTGGTATTTTTTACTCTTAGTTAGGCTTCCTGATAGAAACGCCGGACTACTTCTCAGCTTGGGAGACCCTACCAGGTGGACAAATCCACCCGCCGTACATCGCAGTCCGACACCTAGCCACGATGAGGCGGTAAACCGCTGGGAGGCATTTACAGTTTAACCAACAGAAATATCTACCACATGCTTCCATTGCATTGAAAGCTAATCTATCCATCTTTCTCACTTGTGTTCATCTTGCTTCTTCTGACTTCTAACGATTTCTATGTGAAACAACGGCCGATGTCATCATCCAGTTGTTGACGTCATTGCGAAGTAAATTATACTTAAATGTGGCACCTCACAGATTCCTTAACGTCCCAACGGTGCCGTATAGCAGGACGTAGTACAACATATCTTTAAAATCTAACAAACATTAAAGGGAAAGAAGTATGCTACCATTTCATGTGAACAATATTCTCGTCGAGCCCTTCTGAGGGTCACATAGCACTCTTCGCTCGACTATTGCAAGTATCCCATAAATTCCTTTCTATACGAGATAAGACGTTCTACGAACATTCAAGCATGGGAAGATCTATATCTTGTTATTACTTTGCAAATTCTTACAATCCAGAAAGGTTTCCAAACTTTCTCTGCAACTAAGCATTTTAACACCCATGCGAAGACGCTTAATTTTACGTGGCTTTTACATTGGAGGGCGTCTAAATTCAAATCGTTACGAATTTTTGTTTTTCGACAAGAGACACTAAGTTCTCGATAACTAGAGCACTTGAGGTGTTGAGAACATGAAGCCTTATGGAAGAGACTTTGCACTATCAGTCAAGAAGAAAACATGGTTTATATGCTCCTAATTCTACGCTATAATGCTCCACCGCACAACCATGCAACTTCTTTGCAGTTTACGTTCAGCCTGTTTCTCTTTTTTTATGCCAGCTCATTCCATGTGATATGATCAATTATTGTGATTGGACATTACTTTCTAGCGGTTTACCTTCTCATCATGGTTGGGTGTCGGGCTGCGATGTACAACGGGTAGATTCATCCTCCCAGCAGGGTCTCCCAAGCTAAGAAGGAGACCAACGTTTCCATCAGAAAGCCCAGCTATGAGTAAACCAATACTACTACCATTGTGTTGGTATCAAACCAGCCACATAGTGGTAAATCTCCGTCTGATCTGCAAATGCGACGACTACCTATGGTGGTGATGACCTGGGGCAGACTTTGGCTAGGCTGAGCTCGGAGCTACAGGGAACCACAATAGCTAAACCAACAAAACTCCGAAAGAAACAATGTAAATGGCGCCCGCACAACCAGTGAAGACGGCCCATCCAAGTATCCAACTAGGTAGGACTGGAAATTAGGTAACACTCAATTAACATTTAACTTATGAACCAATGGACTCATTCGGAGAGCTTTTTTGTACTAATATTTCTAACTGGAGTATATAGCTTCTTTCGCCCGAGGCCCGCCACATCTGTGTTGTAAATGCTATCGAACGAATACGAAAAGTGCAGAAAAAAGCGCTATGCACCATAATAATCACAATACCTACACCCAAATAACGCCTATAGAGGTCACATCGTCTAGCAAGTCTTATTAGTCACTTCTGAGCCACTTACTCGAATAGCTCGTTTTCCTCAAAATTGCAGACTCCAGCATAAGCATTCAACGAATGCTGTGTGTTAAAAGTTCGAAACTATGCATCTAAGTTTCCTCACCGATGTCGGAATTACTCAGAGTCCATTGCCATAACTGAGATAAAGGATGGATGTTCGAACTCTTAGTCTTGGATGATAAAGTTGAGTATTAAACTTCTGCTGTATATAGAATTCCATACCTAATGATACTTCACGTTGCAGTTATTCTCAAGTGGATCCTTGGACGGTCCGTCTTCACGAGCTGCCACTGTAACGCTAAAACTTGCTAATCACACTTCTATATTCTCTAGACTCCTTTATATGTTAGGACCTCAGACGACATAAGCTGAAATATGAAAATGCTTTGGAAAAACAAACTGTATTACAGACCGGATCTTCGGCAACAGCTGTGACACCGCTACCACCTCCAGTGCCTCCACCACCATCGTCGCCACCAGCGCCTCCGACTCCACCGACGCCACCGAAAAATCCAGGCCTATATTCTGCGAATTTCTCAAGTTCAATAAACCATAATCATGTAGAGAACGACTCAGCACCAGCCACACCGCTAACGGAGGATTACGAGAACATGGAAATGGCAGTTCCATTGACACCAAGTATTTCACAAAATGCTCATGAACAAATCCCTCCTGTTCACATGCCCACCGACCAGTCAACGGCAGCAGGACTGGACCACGTACTAGAAGAGGTAGGCGTAACCAGCCAATATAGACAATAAACTAATAGTAGCAAGATTCGTGAGCCTCTTTTTCGTTTTATTACAAAGGATGGACCTGCGAAAATCGGGATCCAAAATTAAGAAATTTCGGGTAAACGAAAGTTTTCGAAATTTTTTAAACTGGTTACATAAATAAAAGATGTTGCAGATGGTACCAAACGGGGCCCCTCCGCCACCGAGCAGATATTCAGTGCAAGACGTACATCAAAAATTCCAAAAGCCTCCTGAACTTGCAGACCAGATCAAGAATCTCATCGACGAGGTAGCACGAAGACCATCCCCTACTCCCGAAGCCAACGAACGAAGGTGCATTCCATAAAGATTTTCGTTGCCTCAACACCATAAAAGGTTCTTTCTCAACTTTCTTATCTTACTTTCACCTAATTTGTTTTTAAGGATGGATTTGGAAAGGCGACAAGAACGCCTTGCTGAGAAGCAACGCCAGTTACGGTCTCAATTTCAACAGCTGAAACAGATGACGCCATTACCGTGAAGAGACGCAAGAACTAGTGTGCCCTAGCTCATCTCCATATGAAGTTGATACCACTCAGACCCGTTTCTTATGTCATTCGCATTCATGGCTTACTCACCCAACATTTCCTCAACATTAAGGTCTGGTTTTTACGTTTAATTTAATAGAGATATCAATTGTTTATTGAAACAATGAATCAGTATGACAGTAATTTCCTACCCTACCTTCAGAACTTATAGAACTAGTACGTGGTGCAACTAATTACAAATGCAGGCAACAATTGTTCTATCATTTTGCACTGTTATGTTCACAACTAGCAATAGACCACAAAACAATAAGTAAAAATTTAGAGAAAAAGCCTTTTCTCCTCATTGCCTACGCTAAGCTAAAAATATTCTAACAGCATAACAATGAACCATAGCTCGTATCAGATTAAACGAAAAACCAAAGGGACACAAGAACGTGTACGTCAGAATCACAGAGCTCGAGGCACACCTTGTGCGATCACATCGTCTAGTTCCTTCAGCGTTTTTTCAAACTTGTCGAGTTCTTTCTGAAGCTGTTTCTTCTTGAACACGGAATAGTAGTTTACACCTAAACTAACACCTACGTACATCGTCCAAGAATGTATCAAAAAAACCGCCCTTTCAGAGATAGTGTCTAAAACATGACCCTATATTGCAACAGTCTCGGCAAAGGTAATCTAATTTTATAATCTATAGGAAATCACTAACACTAAGTTCCTGAAAGTAAATAACTTTCCCTCGAAACTGCTGCAGCCTCAAATCGAAGAATTCGAACTAGAATTCATGGACATCAAAACCGGCGAGATACTTGTCGTGGAAGTAATCTTTAGTTCTCGTTTTTCATTAAACAGAACCGTAATTTCCACTGACAGTTACAAGTAGGAACACAGATCAAGAAAGGAAAAGATTATGCAGTAATATATACAACAGTGATGTTTTTTAAAATGTGGGATTAAGTGTCTTGTGAACAAAGTTCTGCCTCTATTAGCTGTTCATTGACGATACCATGGCACAATTTTTTAAAGAAAATCTTACTTCTGCTCGCCATTAGGATGGAAACCTCGGGACGCCGCGCATGTACTGATTGCTATGACATGAAGTCCTGCACTTTCAAAAACTTCGCGAAAAAGAGAACATTTGAAAACTATGACATACTTTTAAAAACCAACTAGTTTTTTGATATGGAGTACGGAAACGATCCACCTCGCCCTCACAGTTCAGCTCACTTTTGCTGTCTATTTACTGGCCTTCGACCTTCTCGACCACAAAATCACCCGGAGATGAAACAAGTTCTGAGCCAATAACAAGCCGAAAATGTTACTATTATCACTATATTCGTAGATTCTGATTAGCACTGAATTAATTAGGAGGAAATTCTACTGCGCTCTCAAAAGGTTACTAGAACACTGCCAAATACTGAACTCAAGCAAATGTATTTTTCTTTGCCAAAACGTGGAGTTTCAAAGTTGTACAGGACAACTCTTCACTAATCTCAACTAAACTGTCTAGTCAAACCTATATGGAAGAGAATTACAAGGTTCTACACTCTAGAAATATATTTAAGCAATGCCTACTAATAGCAGGTAACATATGTAGTACTTATTGAAGCACCAGTTTTCTCTCCTTTTAAGTACACAGTTTGAACACACGGGTACCGATTGTAAGTAAGACGGATAGACCACCAAAGATCCCAATAAGTTGTTCTAGCAGCGATTAACCTGAGTTCTCATCAAAACAATTCTAGATTGTATTTCTAAGTTGAACTTCCGTAATAAAAAATAATGGAATCCATATTACGGGATATCAGGCAGTACAGCTTAATTGGTTGTTTTAAAAGTTTAGATCAACGTAGTCCACAAGATCGCATACTGTCATAAATCAAAACCAACCCACAGCATAGTTGTGAAGAGAAGTGAAAAATATGTCTGAACAGGGCGCACCATCTAGCAACCACTAATAGTAGTCCCATATTTCTAATATTTAATGGGAAAAAAGTTACCTCTGAACGAGAAATATATTTTGAACAGCTCGAAACCAGCACCAGAAACAAAACCCATAAGGAAAATACCCTCCCATCGAGAGCAAAATGATGCTATAATACCAGAAGCGATCATCTGTAATAAAAAAGTTGCTATAAAACATAAAAACAATAGTACAGCATGGGCTACTTTCAAGTCAACTTCTGTAACATGTCAATAGTGACTCTGCTAATGTTACAGAAACAGAGGAAACAAGTAAACTAACTTCAAATTAATAGCAAATCCTGCACGATCGGCCTCAATAAGTTCTCTTTCGAGTAGTTCGCGTTCTTCCTTACGAATTGGCCTTACGAACTTATAATAAATGCCAGTGTTCACGATGCAGTACGACGTACTGAACAGGATAAAGCCAAGAATCGAGCGAATGAAAGCTGAAATACTACTGTTATGTCTTCTGCTATATAGTGTAATAGAAACATTGTTCAAAAACAGAACCTACATTTTGAGAGAGGGGACATTACCATCAAATACTTTCAATTCACTTCATGGCAGGCAACTCATACTGTTTTCAGTGGAGGAAAAACACATAGTGATGGGCATAAAAAACTCAGTAAATGTAAACAAGCCAAATGAAGTAGTCAGCTTCTTTCTCCGTAAGCATCAATCGCTACAGACCACACCTACTGCTTTCTCGCCGATTTACAAAGTGAACACGGACACAATAGATCCGACAGAACGCCAAATCCGCAATTGTGCTTTATTTATAAGCCGCTTGAGCAGATTTTGATTTTAGCACCAAAAGTATCAGGAAGGATAAGACTTCAATATAGTAGCCCCGCAAGTACCGGAATCATCAGATATGGGCGAATCACCGAGTACTATGAATAATAAGCGATTACTTTTTCTTTATAACAGGTGACACTAAACTTTAGCTTGAAATGGACGACATGTTTCTTAAAAGGTTGGGGTGGATATTTCATTTCAGATCGCAGTCTGAGCATACAGCGAAAAGTTCATCATCAACATAACTAGTCTCAGAGATGCTATTCATTGCACAAGTCACTGAAACTGTTACCTTGAATATAGAATCCCCTATTCATAGAAAAAAAGTTTCGTTTAGTAAACTAAGACATTCACGTTGCTTCAGAAAGATGATTTGAAAAGTAAAAACTATACAACTCTTGATATAGTCATAGCATGGAGAGGGTAATGAAGTAATTGATGACGAAAATCAAGAAGATAGAGCAGAACACAGCTATATAACCCTTTCGTGACTGAGCTGTTTTTCGATATCTATTGCACTTCTGGACCACTAAACTTAAGACTTGTGGTTTCAAAGTGCTTTTTCTCGAATCTTCAACATCTTTGGAATCGAGATTTTCGGAGAAGATTGGCAACGAAGCTAAAATTCCCAAAGCTTGCGCTTCGCCCCCAGACCAGCATGCCGTGTGCTGGTGGACGGAAGCCCGACTGTTCAATGGTTTTTGTGTTGAAGGTACGAGCACCTACACCAAAAAGGGGAAAAAAACCCTCCTAGAAACCTTAACTTCATCAAAATCCGCGCAGTTATGCAAAAATATTTCTCAAAATTCATTTATTATTTCTTCATCTACTATTCCATATCCCCACCAAGTCCAGGAACACTTCTTGCAGTCAGGGCAAAAAACTGGGTAAAACGATTTCTGCAGGAGTTCAAAAAACTGAGAGCCACTCCATCTCTACTATGTTCCAGATGTCGATGGTGATGAAAAAACACATGACTTGGTTGATAACGGGAATGAAGCAAGCCATCTAACACAAGTCCTAGAATTTTTGCTGAATCATCGAAGAACCGTGGGAGAGTAGGTCTGTAGTTATGCGGCACCTTCACAAAGTGCTGAAACTCTACGAACGACCGACTTTCTATTAACTTCAGGATTGGTCGAACAATTCTTTATAGGTTATGGTGGTGTTTGGCTGGGTAGATTGCAGTCAACTTGACCTCTCCAGTCTCCGAAGAAGGCGAAATCCACCGAAACGTCAGCTTGCTCGTAAATAAAGAAATAAAATAACACCTCGTGTTTGCTTGACAAGGGTCTAAAGAATCCACGAACAGTTGAGCGGATAGATTTTCTAAAAATGTTTCGGAGCCCAAAATCTTCAGTGAAAACAAAGACTTCGTCGCCGATCACGGCGAGTCGTCCATAAAGTTGTGTATGAATATCAAAAATTCCTCAGTGAAAATATACGAACGTTTTACAACAAGCGGAATTGTCAACTCCACCTTTTCCATACATAACACATATCCTTCAATGAGACTCTTAAGCGTTCATACTTTTCCGAAAATGAAATGGTATGTGTTTAAATTCTTGAGCTTACATGAGGCTGATAAACTACTTTTACTCAATTAACGTTTCGAGGTCTTCGTCTTCATCAGAGCTAACGATCCGAGTCGGTGGTCCACAGTTTTTTCATCTCGTTCTCTTGTACGAAAAATAAAATGGGCTTGATGTCAGACGGCATTCATTCTCCTCTTCCTTTTCTGCATGGAAAAACAAGCCAAGTTTCGCTGACTCTTTCTTATATACCCGCTAAAATAAAGCCCGTCAAATGGTAGATTTAAATTCTTGTGCTAAAAATGAACGGATCAAATTTGTGATAAAACGCTGGTAATCGGTAAAAAACCGCCACTATTGCAAATAATGCAAATTGTCAGAAAAGCATACTACTGTGAAAAAGTGCGTACTTTTATGCAGGATATCAAGACGTCGGTTTGTGAATATTCGTCGGTACAAAGGTCTTCGGTCCTCTCGTTTCCTTGCCGCCCAATTTGCTGGCGTCAAGAGCATCCACTGAAATCATACAACGCTCGTCATTGTATATTTCACTCAAAGCCCCAGTAAGGTGCACAGGGTTCATTAACGTAAACTAGCACAAACACAAAATACAAATGGCGAGAAATTAATGATGCTACCTATCGTTCCGCAAGAGATCTAGCAGTCACAAGAACTAGAAGCAGCGTAGACTGCATAGGCACACCATCGTTTTTCTCTCTTCCAAGAAACTATGAAAATTATGCTATTCTGGAACGAGGAATGGTCCAATATCCACTTATCTATGAACACAGTCACTTGTTAATGGGATACACAACGCTACTTTGCGACGCTTTCTGCTTATAAACGGCGCTAAGGACACTCACTTTAAAACGTACCACAAAAATAATTTAAATCTAAAATAAATTACAGGCCAAAAAACATAGCGAATATTACGTATAAGCGAAAGAACATCATAAAAAGATCTACATCCTAACTCTTCCAATCTGGCGGAAACGATGAGCGTAGTAGCCGCAGAATGCAGATTACACCCGCGACCTGACGGAGAGGTATGTAAATGCACGTGTGCAGCGAGGTTCCCAAAGCCTATACTGTCTTTAATGTTTAACGTTTTGTTTTCTGCCTTCTATAATTTTCATGGCAGGTTGCTAAGCGAAATACAACCGCAACGTTGCTGAGATATTTGCAAAACTCTGGACCGCAGGTGTCTATGGTGGGGAACGAACGCGCTATTGTCCTTTCCGGGGAGTAACGCGTTCACCACCACACCATGCGGGTCCTTCGTTTCGCCTGTCTCTCAGCTATTTCTATCGATCTTTTTGCCACAGCAATCACCCGTCAGCGGGGTTGATCTGGGGAGCGCAAATCGGCATAGAGCCCATAGAGTGGTGGTGAACGCGTTACTTCCCGGAAAGGACAATAGCGCGTTCGTTCCCCACCATAGACACCTGCGGTCCAGAGTTTTGCAAATATCTCAGCAACGTTGCGGTTGTATTTCGNCAACGTTGCTGAGATATTTGCAAAACTCTGGACCGCAGGTGTCTATGGTGGGGAACGAACGCGCTATTGTCCTTTCCGGGGAGTAACGCGTTCACCACCACACCATGCGGGTCCTTCGTTTCGCCTGTCTCTCAGCTATTTCTATCGATCTTTTTGCCACAGCAATCACCCGTCAGCGGGGTTGATCTGGGGAGCGCAAATCGGCATAGAGCCCATAGAGTGGTGGTGAACGCGTTACTTCCCGGAAAGGACAATAGCGCGTTCGTTCCCCACCATAGACACCTGCGGTCCAGAGTTTTGCAAATATCTCAGCAACGTTGTGACTGTCTTTAATGTTTGGCTTATTGTTTGTTAGTAGCTTCTAATTTTTCTGTGTTTTCTGAGGCTGGACGACCTGCTTCGAATTTGACGACTTACATCCGTCTTATGCAACGAGATGATTTCTAAAGAAGGATGGGTTCATCTTCGTTAATTAAGCAGATGAACAGTTGCTGTCATGCTTTTAATTATTTCTGCTTATTAGGTGGGCTTTTCGTAGTGCAGCTGTCTTATGTGTTCGTCGTAGTAGGGGCGTGATGTTGAAAAACGAAAAAAAAGGTTCCTTGCTACTATTGTTATTGACGGGCATCATTGATACGGGTATGTAAAAAAAAGAGACAGTGAGGTTCGATGTATTTTTGCGTGGAGGAAAGATAGGGGAACATGAGCGCTTTCTAAGTATCACACCGTTTTGTTCTCTGAACAGGAGAACGAGATTAAGGCCAACTGTGGGCCAGCTAGTTCGATCATCGGCTGTGAGAAAGACGAAGACATCGAGATCCTAGCGGAATAAACCTTATTATCAACCTCGTGTAAGCTTGACAAATTTCCGGAAAAGTATGGTCACATAGAAGCCTCATGGAAGGATGGAAGAATGGGAGAAAAGATTGAGAGCTTCCTAACGTCATACCACTTTGTTTTCTGAACAAGAGAACGAGATGAGGAACAATTGTGGACCACCTTGGCAATTCCTTTTGTTGTAAAACGTGCATGTGTATTCACTGAGAAATTCTAGATATCCACACAACTTCCTGGACGACTCTCCGTGATCGACGACGAAGAAGTCTTTGTTTTAATTGAAGACCTTGGGCGTCGAGGCACTTGGAAAATCTGTCCAGTCAACCGTCCGCAGATTTTTAGCACTCCATGGAGGTGTCACATAACTACAGACCTAGTCTCCCACTTGTCTCTGATGATCCAGTAAAAACTTTTAGGACTTGTATTAGGCGTCTTGCTTCATTCTCGTTATCAACCAGACCATTCATGTGCCTTTTCTTCACATCGACATCTGGTATATAGTATGAGGGGAGTCTTAGGTCTTTGAAATGCTGCAGAAATCATTCTATCCAGCTGTTCGCCGAAACGTGATAGAAATGCTGCAAGCAGTGGTAATTCCCACGACCGACTTCCTATTAACCTCGCCATTTATCATATAGTGCTTAATATTTTAGTTGAACAAAGTCCAAGTATTATTTCATTCTTTATTCACGAACAAGCTGACGTTTCGGAGGATTTCACCTTGTTCAGAGTCTGGAAAGCTCAAGTTGACCGCAATCTACCCAGCCAAACACCTCCATAACCAAACAGAGTGCTGCAAGCAGTATTCGTGAGCTTAATGGGAATACGGAGTAGTGGATAAAAATATAGTAAATAATTTTTAAGAGATATTTTTACATAAGTATGTGGGTTTTGATAAAGTCGAGGTTCCTAGGACGGTATTTTTTCGCTGTTAACCTTCAACACGACAGTCAGTGAACAGTTTGGCCTCCGTCCACGAGCACACGGTATGCCCCTTATCGCTGGTGTGCTGGCGCAGCGCAAACATTGGAAATGTCCCGTTTCAGATGGACGTCAAGAATCTTAGTTCCATATGTGTTGAAAATTCGAGAATTAGTGATCACTTCACAATTACAAATCTGTTAATTCTTCTTATCCATAAGCGCAACAGACGTCAAAAACCAGCTTCGTCACGAAGGAATTATGTGGTTCTTGTCTTACTAATCGTTTCTCTCAAGCTGCTCAGATGGTCCTAATTTAGTGAACGACACACTCTTTATGCATAGAGGATAATATATTCAAGGTAACGGTCTCACTAATTGGTGTGTATGGAACACAGCTATAAGGATGTGGAGATATTAGCAAGACTTGGAACCTCAGGTGAGCTTCGAACCAGTGATTACACTTTCCGATGGCTCACTTGTCATCCACTACACTAGCCGAGGCCGAAGATCATTCCTGTTGATGTGTAATTGCTGATGACACGGTAAAAAAAAAGATAAAAAAACTTAGGGTGAAAAACTGGCTGACAGAAAGGCAAAGCAAGGGCCTCTGTTGGTGTGGTGGATAGCATGTGAGCTTCCGGAAAGGGTAATCGCGGGTTCGAGGCCTGGGGTCTCGAGTGGTGTTCATACCTCAGCATCTTTTCCGTTGTATTTCCGATTGTAAATCTTCAAATTGACACACGAATTGTCGTATTACAGAATCGTTTACAATTAGAGTTTCCTGAACGTTCCATGTAACTGTATGAAGAATGAAAAGGTGTGAAATGCTGGACTTCGTAGCCGACGAGATCACTCACGGAAAAGTCAACGCCCAAAGAAAACCGTAAAAACCAAATATTTGGCTCAGATAATTGATTTGATCCAGTCAATGTGGAAATGATGTAGTGACAGGTGATACAGTCGGCACATTTTGCCGTATATGATAGGGGAAAACCCACTCAGCATGAACGCTGTCCTTCTTCCTCACATTATCAGTTCGATCATTTCAGAAAGTGAAAAGCTTCGATGGGAAGCATTCCATCATACTAGCTTTTTCGAACGGGGACCTATAATCCAAAGAAGGAAGGTCCAAGGAAATTTATTGTTCTCTCAGGCCAAATGGTGTGCACTGTAAGCTGAGGATTGATGACTCTTGCTTTCAACATACGTCTGTGAATCATTTGTAGAAATGTGGTGTGGTTTACATTTCATTCACCGTTATTTTAAGCTATTATTATAACTATTAGCTTTGAAAAGAATAAGCTGAGAACCAATTTTCGTTGAGCGAAGAACCTACACATCTCCACAGTTGGGTTATTACTACGAGCCTATGTCAGAACTACTACGAAATTATCTTTCCTCAAGGACTCACGTCTAGATTGCCCAATCTTCAGTATAAGGAAGGTATTTGCCACGAAAATGTGTAAACTACTGTCTATCTTCGAGAGCTGACAGAGATAAGTCGAATACTAGAACATTTTTTGACGGGCCTATAGGACTTGTGTGGATCGAATTTTCCTAGCAGCTGGAATTCGGAGCGGAACAGCCGACACATTCACTTTGTGCGCATCGCTATGTTATACGTTTTTATAAACAATCAGTTCTATTTGTTCATTATCTATGTCATGCCAGTGATGTTATGAGAGCTCACTACTTCCCGACCGGATCATCCAGCCTGTTCTTGGCTACCATACATCGCGCATCGTGCGACTCTTCCATAGGCAAAGAAACAATGTTTATTTGAACTGACGAAATTTGAATACTTCGTACGTATACTTTGTCAATCAGCTTCAGATTTGAATCGCTATGGGTGACATGAAATGATTATTACTCAAGGTAATCTTCGACGCAAGTAGCTTCTGTTAACAAGAGGAGTTCGGATGAAGCCAAGCTCTCCCAAGGCATTGGTGAGTCGAAGTCAAAAGCGACCGGAAGGCACTTCTGTAACACACAAATGTTACTGGTGTACACCATCTCTATTGTATCCACTTATAGCGCTGGAAATACGTAGGGCGAAATGTGGAGCTGCATCAACGTTCCTTCTGGAACACATTCACTGAAGGAGACTTCAGAGAGGACATCTGCCAGTACTTCCAAACTTTTTATTTCTTCCCATAGCCCCAAGTAGTTCTATACTGCTCTACAGCTTTTTTTTCCTTGAAGGAATCCCGCATATATTGCTTCATTCGCTTTCGTTATCCGTTTATTTTGCAAAGTTGCTGCTCTTGGCTAAGCGTCTGCATTTTAAGGAAAATTTAGCATAATTTGACCACTCTCACCATTTGGAACAATAGATAGTTAATAGACTGCTTTAAGAAACAATGGAGGATTTTATAATAGTGAATTTAACAAATACATTTTGAAATAAATATTCATCGCTTATATCGTTGTCAGGGCGCGTGTGGCGCAGTGGTCGGATGCGCCCTCCGATGCACACATGGAATCGATCCCGGCGTCCGTGGCTCACCAAGCCTTCCATCCCTCCAGGATCGGTAAATTGGCACCAAATTTGTCTGGGATGATAGCAGCACTGGCTCGATAAATCGGTAGGCATGGAGAGATATGAGGCATGGCATAATCGAGTCATTGTAAAGACCAGATATACATTCAATATATGCTAAGATATGATCAGATATGCTAAGTATTTTAGTATGTAATACTTTTCCGAAACCGATTTACGATTTTTTTATACGATTCGATACCCCACATATTCTGCCTATGCTAGCACTTTTTGCATTCGATCAGTTTCATTGCATTCGTCATCCATAATGGCAATTGGATTGTTTGTGAGTTCGACTGCTGCTGGAGAGTTTTTGGTGTTATTGCTAGTTAGGTTGATTCTCGTTGTGGGAGATAGGGTTTAGTTGGTACATGACGTTGTCGAATAAGTGCCTGCGCGTATTAAGAAACATCACTACTGTGCTGATCCATTACAGCGACTGAAATAACGTCGTCAATGATGCAAAGAAACTTTGTGGTATTGCTTTATAAGTTCAAAAGCAAAATGAATGGCACCAAAGCGCCAAAGCGTAGAGTCAGAGAATTGCTTCTGAGGATGATTAGATAATTCGAAGTTTGCTACAAGAGATACTTACTTACTTGATACTTGAACGGCCCGTTCTCGCTAGTTGCGCGGGCCCTAGCATAATCACCGTTTTTCGGAGATTTGCTGGTTAAGCCGATGTGGTTCCCTGGAATCCCGAGGACAACCTGGCCAAAGTCTGCCCCAGGTCGTCACCACGACAGGTAGTCGCAGCCTTTGTGGATCAGAGGGAGATTTACCACCATGCGACTTTGATACCAGGACGGTGGTGGATCCTCGTACCGGTTCCCTCCTAGCTGGGCTTCCCTATGGAAACGCTAGACTCCTTCTCAGCTTGGGAGACCCTGCCGGGGGACGAATCCTTCCGCTGTACATCGCAGTCCGACACCCAGGAACACCTCCCAGCCACGATAAGGCGGTAAACCGTTAGGAGACTACAAGAGATATGATTCTTAATAGCGAGAAAATCTTGGCAACACATCAGTAGCCGACGGCGACCATCGCAGAGCTGTAGCAGAACTGAGGGTTGTGGCAAACTTCCACTCTCTAAAGACAACACCAGAGATGGCAGAAGAACTCAACGTCAGTGGCATAGATGAAAATCCTATGCTACGCGACAACCAACGGCGTTCAGCGTACTGGTTGAACCGCTATAAAAGTTTTAAACACGTCGCAAGGCGAAATTTGTACTAAACGAAGGTAATGGTGATGGTGTACAGCCGAACTAAACCACCGCAACCTTCTGAATCCCGGTGAAACAACCATAACGAGAAGTGGCATCACGAAATCGATGAAATCCAAGGAAAATGCATGTATTATCTGTGTATTATCCAGATTTCGCTAACAGAAAAGACTGGTTCTTCTTACATGACAACGCTCAATTACACATAGCTGAACTAACGTTACAGAAGTAGGACAAATTCGGCTACGAAGCTCTGCCTGAAGCATCGTTCTCATTAGACTTTTCCCAGCTTCGCACTGCTTCCTTAAGCACTTTGGCAGCTATACGTGAAAGAAAATTTCCAATAAACAATTCGCTGCTGAAAATAACATCCGAAAATTGGTTGACATCAGAATCGCAAGCTACCGCAGTAGATAGACTTGCACAATACTGGCGAAGATGCATAGATTATAATGGTTCTCATCTTGATCTATAAGTTTACCTTTGGTCTTTATAATCCAAGGTTGCTAAAAGCATTGCTGTGTAAAATCCTCCATTACTATTCAATCATCTTAGTGCTTAAAAAGGACAAAGAATGAACCTCTCGGTGTTGGTCAATCTTTGAGGGATGCGTCATGCATTCGACTTCATTAAGTATCGTTGGAGATGATTGAATGCGTATTTGGTCTATACATCGACTTTGCTTTGGCTTTCCGATATATCGAGCCAATGCTGCTATTCTCCTAGAGAAGTCTGGTACCAAGTTGCCGATCCCAGAGTGATGGAAGTCTTGGTGGCCCAGCGGCACGGGAATTGATCCCATGCGCATTGCAGGGCGCTTCCCACTACTGCGCTACACGCGCCCTTATACCTGTGGATACAAAAGTTGCGACACTTAGAGAATATTTGCCAGTTAACTAGAGAGGAATTTATTCGATAGAAACTTTTTCAATAACACATATAAATTTCATCAAAAGTCTTATATTGCTGATATCCTTCAAATCTAACCAATGCACAAGGCCAATGCGGAGGATGCTTCCGATCCTTATAACCTTTCTATATCCTGTACTTGCTTTTGAGTGGTCACCTACGAACTACTATTATGAACTTTGTACAGTGTTGTCGTGCTTACCCACCTTGATAATGTCCTTAAGGTATTCATAATTAGGCTGGTTCGGATCCTCCACGTTGTCGTAGCAGTACGTATAGTACTCCTGTAATTCCGTGGGCATACCGCTGAGCCTATAACCGCAATAATACTAATTTATTCTTTTGGAATCACTCGAGAATCCCACGGATGCGCAAAGTATTTTCAAATATGTCATTCAAATGATAAATGAAGATTTAAATGAATCAAAAAAACGGGTTCTAATAACTATGGGAATCAAATGTAGTTTCATATGTGAAGCCTAAATTGAGTGGTTTCGTTTATAAAGTGGCGAGAGAGAGAGTCAGAAAACAATACGGAGAACATAAGGGCCTAGGGAAAGAAAAAAAAATCCGGCCAAAGTTGAATAAGGACAAGACGTAGAGGGCAAGAGGAAAAACTATCAGAGATTAAGAGAAAAGAGAGGAAGGAATGGATGGAATTGAACATGTAAACAGCAAGGAAGAAAAGGGAAGATAAAAGCAGATGTTCGGTGACTCGTGGAAATGGACGGTGGTCTCAAATGACCGGCATCAAATTGGACAGCAAATAAACCCATGTCTATCTAATTCGCATTTGACATAACAAATTTGGAAGAGGAATGATTATTACAGAGATACAAAGATCTCCACTTCATGGAACCTGTTTCAAAAAACAACGATCTTGATTCGTTGCCTGGATCAACGGGTTCATATCCTCAAAACGTCCACATTTTTCATAGTTGAAATCTGTATTTATTCTAGGCCGTAGGTCCGACAGGTCCGTATTCCAGGGAATAAAGAAGCGATTAAACACAACTTAACTGACGGGCATAATTCCTCGAATGAAATATTCTTTTTCCGTCTTGCAATATCTTCCGCTTCCCTCAGCCGAGTCCATGGCAGATTACCTTCAGCCAGCTCGACCATGGTATAAAAATTCGATATCAGATCGTCGCAAGCGCACTTAATTATATTGAAAATGACAGGAAATGAAACTAGTTGGACATGAATTGAGGACGATCACCTGGTCCCTCCGCTCGTGCACATTCAGCGAAACATATCGAAGTGTGCCCCGGAAACCAACTTTCCTCCGCCGCATCACCTTGCCATTCCTCTATAAAGCCGATGTAGTAGAAATCTGGCTAAGCGATAACATTTCTGCAAGTGTGGTGAAAGGAACAAACCCTGAATTTTCTAGCGAGACCAAAATCCAGAAGATAGACTTTTCTGACAGATTCTGGAGTTGCGCCGATGCACATATTTCCTGGTTTTATATCTCTGAGAAAGAGCTGTGAATTCATTCAGGTGGCATACACTGAGATTAGATATACTGATATTCTGTTCGGTTTCATGTGATTACTGTTATTACGACCAATCAACTATATATTCATATAATCGACACAGGAGGTCACGAAACGAAAGGCAGTCCCGTCTGATAGAACCGCGTAAAAGTTAGCCACTTTTCTAATCACTGCGCAAGATGCTTGTGTCAGCGAAACTATGCAAATGGTTAAAATGCACGACTCCTACTCGTCCCACTTCCAGTACTTGATTCTATCTAACGTATGCTACAAACATCATAATAGACATGCTTTGGTTTACATCTGCATATTCTGGAACTCCACTTACCTGTGTATGTATCCCATATCGTGGAGAACTTTTAAGGAATCTGTCATCATAAGGCCGACACGCAGCGCAGTAATGGAGTCAAATCTGAGGAGCGTATGCAACAGGGAATCTTGACAGCACGACGAACACCATCAGCTCACCTTTTGCCTTCGCTTTTTTTCCGCAATTCCGATAGACTTTTGCCTAACAATTCCATTACTATGAACATATAATCTTCAAACGTTCCGCTTCCAAGCTGAAAAGACTCGCTGCAAACAAAGCGATTTGTCCCAACGAAAATTTTTAGGTTGATTACGATACAGAGTCACGTTCAATTCACTTCAGTGGTACATCGATAAAGAACACGGTGTGTCCATATGACATATTTGATATATTTATCCAAGAAAAGTCAAAACTTTTCCGTTTTTTTATAAACTGTAAGATGTCGTTATAACAACCATGGGGAAAGCTGTTGGTCCGCATTACAGCGTTTTGACTTTGCTTCACAAGAATCCATTTCTTCTGCTTACCGTAAATTTTTCGACAGTTTCTTCTCAAGAACGAATCTTCGAGGAGAGAAGACTAATCCTCCTACATCAGTCTCTCTTTCACTCTCTTGTCGAGACAGTAGAAAGATGTTGTCAGAGGTACTGTTGGATGCTGCGAGCCGCTTCTGTTTCAAATGAAACAACCAATATCACTGGGATTTGTTTGGTAAGAATGCATTACCTCTCTACCTATTGATTTCCTCCATTTTTACCCATTAGTTATAGTTTTGTACTTGAACTTAAGTTTTGTACTTGCAATTACAGCGAAATAAAAAGCTCGTAATCTTTATTTCTCCCACTCTTCCGTCTCACACACATTCTCTTCAGATTTCGTTGTATCAAAATTGTTCTAACTGCTCGTGAAGAAATAATATCTGATGGTATGGTATTTTGTTATTTATTAGCTTCCCGTCAGTGGTGTGATGAAAACATTTAATCCGTCCCAAAGCATTTCCATCTAGTGTTGGAAAACCAGTGTTGGAAAGGTGGAGTACACAGAAATGGTTAAGATCTCAGAAGAGCCGAAGCAAGCAGTATTTCTAATTGACCAGTTTTGTCCTTCCGACCTTTCCCTATTGATTTACCCATTTTTACCCACTCTAACTGATGATTTTAACAGTACCAATTTCGGAAACTCCGGTTTTCCTTTCAACGAGTACAATATTTGCTGCTCGAGAATCATCCGTTGAGGTTCGTGTCGTTTCTGCATAACCTTCACCGCCACATATAACTTTTTGTTCTGAATATAAACGAATTCTCGGACCAGCATCATAAGAATTAAACGACTTGAGTTTTCAATTCGAAACCGACGGAGTCGAATGCTCTGAAAATTTGCCCATAACCACCAGCTCCAAGCACCTTCTGAAGTTCGTATTTGCCCTGAAAACAATCTTAGATTTTGCCTTAGGATATTATTCAGTATAAATGAAAAATACTTGCTACGGTAGTGAAAATTGTTCCGAAAAGGTAAGATCTAGTGAAATGTGATTTGTTACTGAATAAATCAAGCAGTAAATTGAGCCCATTCCTCGCGTGACTGGTGTAAATGCAAATGTTCACTCCGTCTATTTCGCTCCTCTTGAACTCCTTTTTGTATTTCCTCCATCCAAGAGGGCAAGAAGCAGAGGATCTTCGATGAAGGCAACCGATCAACTAGCTGATCTCAATCTACGAGCTCACGTGCTTGACAAAACAGTTCTTTTATTTCTGTGTTATGCAGAAATGTGGACTGATAGTTAAGCCATATTAAAGGATTACGTACAATGCACAGAACAATCGAACGAAGTCTTCTGAAAATGAGCCGACAGTTCGGATTTCCGAACAACATTACGTCTTCGAGACTCACCAGAGCGCTGTTCCGGAATTCACATCAATGGGCTGGTCATCTAATGAGTAAGGAAGACGACAGGTGGTCGAGAAGAACAAGGGACTATTTTCCGAGAGAATCAAAACGACGAAACCGCATGCGAATGGGACCACCTCCCACCGATGACAACCGCAAGGACGAAACGACGGGAAGGACACACACGACGCTAGAAGATAGCTCATCTAGCTATCTAATTATTCTTTTCATCCACCTGTCTTGCTTTTTTGCCTCTTTTCTCCATTCTTTCCCCTCTTCAGTATAAGTCCACTGCAAATTCTCTTTGTACTACTCTACATCTCCCCCTCATTCTCTTTCGTTCTCTTTCTTTTCCTTTCCATACCTATAGATGGGACGGAAAAACTAAAATTTCCTTATTTGCTAAGTTATGGCGATAAGTGTAATGCCAGCTCAGAGATTGTGTCCACATTGAAACATCACCTGGATCAGAGTGCCAAGTGGTATTAACGGTACAGTTTTGCTTGGTCGACGACTTCTGTGGCGATTTCTACGAATTGACATAACCTAAAACCGATGCACTTTGACATTTTCAGTTAATAACTAACATCTTAGGCATGGAAAAGTGTTTTACTACATCAGTGAAGATTTTTTAAAAACACACACGCACACACTGAATGCGGCTATCGAGTTCTAATCATCGGGAGGTGGAAGTTTATCAGAAATGTTTCTGCCTCTTTCTTTGCTCTCCCTAATGAAGCTACTCATTCTGTACCTGATCTACCAGAACGCCTCTATTGGCATTAACGAACTATGTGGAAGTGTGGAAGAGTCTGGATTTGCTCGTTAAAGAACGGAACCAGTCGATACCCCTGTACATAATGAATAGCCATCCTCTTAAATTAACCGGATGCAACATTGTTCTATTTCGTTTCTTCATGATATAATCAAAAATCAATAGAAATACGATACGTTTATTTTGGTGAAGAGAAGATTGAGCAAACTATCTGATGTAAAACCAACAGGAAGTTTGCCAGGCGTTCTATACCAAGTATTCTAACCTAAGGACACGAACCTTTAGCTCATTTCTAGTTATTTAGTGGGATTTATCTGCTACCGTAGAATGCTTCCTTTCGCTACTACTAATCAAATTCCTGAAGTATTGCAGTACTGCACTGATGCTGGACGCAAACGACATACCGCTGGTGTGAGCTGCCTGGTGATCTCAGCTGTCGCCTCTCGTCTCCTCGCCGACAGTTGAAAGTTTTGGTCGCTCTTCGTTCTTTCTGTCGTTTTCCTTCTTTCTGTTTCTTGTGAGAAGGAGGGAACCTTGACGTTGGCCTGCTCACTTTGCTGCATCTAGATATATCAGTATATCGTGGCACGACTTGTATAAGGAGGAATAGGTAACGTTGAGCAGACCTTAACCGCCCTAGACCAACGACTCTTCCTATGGTGCTTGTCCACTAGTAGTAGTGACTGAAGCGATTGAATGAGTGCATACAAGTGGAAACGCATATTTATAACGATATTTATCCGGGACTGTAAACTTCAAACTATCACATCTTTCATTTATTCGCTTCACTGCAATCTTCAAGCGGTTCGGCATTAGTACTTCCTTAGTTTCTGTTGTTCAATAGACACGGCATTTCGTGTCCACGGTGTCACTAGCGTAGTTTGACCATTGGATAACTATCCTGTTTTGCAATGCAGTCACTTTTTATTCAGTGCCGATTCTTTTTTAAATGGCAGGGTATTATGTGAAATACAGACAACCATAATAAAGCTGAGATATTTGAAAAAATCCAGACCGCAAGTGTCTGCGGTCGGAAACGAACGCGTTATTACCCTTTTCGGGGGCTAACGCGTCCAGCACCACACTATTTATCTTTTGTTTATTTTGAATAGAACTTTTATTTCAAACTCCTAACCACATAAATAGTACATGTAACTGGACCAATAGAAGATATTCGTCCCAGCGTTACTAAGTCCTAAAGAGTAGATTCATTTCTCGTGGACATCGTATTTCGCTTCACCATTACACTAATCCTTCAACAGAAGTTACTAGGCCTTGGTGTTGCCCGAGGATGTGATTTACGAAGCGAAATTGGTGTAGTTGCTTGGCACCGCTTTCTACTCCTGGAAGATCCAGAATGGACCTTGTTCCCACCTCTTCTAGTGTGTTTGAACCCTAGAGGTCAATACTAAAAGAAAACTTTTCGTGGTAATAGGATGACGAGCCACCGATTGGAATTCTTCAGCATGGTCGTTCGCAGAGTACGCGTTCCTCGAAGTCTAATACGTTTTCCCGTTGTACACAGTTGTCAAGTCGTACTATAACCTTTCACTGGTGTTTTAGACCCTGTACTCAAAGACCTTTATTTTGTAAAATAATTCGTACAAGAATGTGTTGGCTCTGTGCATGCATGCAGGGGCAGTGGGTCCACTCCGAACCGACCACCACTGGAAATCCGACGGTCATGGATCAGCGCGCTGTTTAACTGCACCATTCGCTGCCTTCTCGTTCTTCATCCCCCGGTACATTTTGAATTTTTCAGTGATAGCTAGCACAAGAGATTCGAGCTCTTCACTCACGTCAAGCAGACAGTTAAAATGAAGCACGACTCCTCTGTTGTCGACATGCTTTAAGCATATGAAATTCAAATTTTGCCCAGTAATTTCCCCATTACTGTGTTTAACATTTTGATACCCATGTATATGTCAAAAGCACTGCAGGTAAACCACCGACCCGATGGTCAGAGTTCTTCACGAAAGGCCTAGAAGAGAGATATGATGCTCGATGGGTCGCTAGAGCGAGCAGAACCCATTGGGCTACTCTTGCACGCGACAAGGAAAAATGGAAGGTTTACTGGCGCCCGCTCGAGTCACTCAACGATCGGCGGGACTACAGGTGATACAGGTGAATACTCTCTATCTATATTCACACAAAGAGATTTATACTTGTGATTGTGGATTACCACAGTTCCTTTCAGAGTATCTGGTTAGATATTATTAAGTGGACAATAACAACGAATGTAAACAACGAATTTACTCTCTATCGACCATTGTGGTTTTCTTAGTGAATTAAATAGTCGCCAGAAAATTATGACAATAAGTTGTTTCGCTCGTCTTCAAAAGTAAGTAAATCGTAAAAGTCTCAGAAACAACACAGATCTCCGAGATCTTTTACATTTATGATTTTCAAGCATTTAGAATGTAGTTTTTGAAATAAATGGAATAATAGTCATGTAAAAGTTTACACGGATGGCAAATTGTCTTTCACAACAACAACTGTATTTGATTCACCTACCTATACATTTATATTCGAAAACTGGTAAAACGCTAAATAAAGCAAAAAAGGTCTTGTGCGGACAAATCAATGAATCAATAATTGCAAATAAAAATGAATTAACGCTTGTTCCAGCAACACTGTCGCTGCTCCAAGAACATTGTGCTCGGCAAGGAAACAACTGAAATACATTCTCACACATTCAAACTCTATACTGAACAACCGTGGCTTTACGCCATTCATCAAACGGCGCTGAAGGAGCCAATTCCAAAGTAATTTCTCCAAAAACCTCACTGTAAGAAACCCGCTTGAAATGCAATTTTTGTTCAAATAAATGTAAGCTAGCCATATTATCCTCGGTTATTTTTACAAAGAAATTTTTCAAATTGAGTTCTTTTAGAGCATAGGAAATTAGAAGCGATACAGCCTCCGTGGCAGCCCCACTGCAACGAGCAGCTTGTTCAGCAATCATAACTTCTAACTCTCCAGAATGACGACCACTTGATAGGAAGAGATTCACGTCGCCGATCATGCTCTCTACCTTAACACAGTTACTTATTGTGCTTCGGCTGACCATTGCATATGATGGCCGTTGTTGATGTTAATCGACTGAGCTTGATGGCACAGTTCACTCAATAACCACTAATGGGTGAAATAAAACCGCAAAACATCAAAGGTGACAAAACCATAATTCTGAAATAGGAAACGTCTTTTACACGTAAACAAAGCGAACCTCAGAACAACCAGTATCTGACACAGCTTTGGACAATACAATAAATGTGAGCTTGTCATCGTCCAATCGCCACTTTCGTTGCATTTCATATTCCTCTGCTAAGGTCAACCTCTCTGACCTTGTAAGTCTGTAAGGGTTCTGATTAAAATGTTCAAGACAAGTTGGCAATGTGTGAAAACATAAATTATGGACAGGCGTTTTCACAACGCCAGATGAAGGCGATCGCTTGCAATTGAAAGTAAAACGAAGTTGAAAGAAGCCCGTTAAGCAAACGTCAGTACCAGCAGCCACAATTAAGTCTACGAAACTCTCTTAAGCCATCCAATATATATTGCACCACAACAAAGAAAAAAGTACTTAGAATAGACGAGTCATATGTGACTCATAAGCGGACGAGGTTACTTTAACCATCCAACTTCAAACATATATCTCAGCTTGTAGGTGACTTTATTAACTAAGATAAAAGCTATTAGGACATAAAAGGACAAAGCTCTTGGCGTTGATCAATTCCTCAGGGATACGTCATGCAGTCGACTTCAGTAAGCACGTTTGAAGGTAATTGAACTCATCTGGCCTTTACAATGACTCGCTGTGGACTACCGATGGATCGAGCCAGTGCTGCTATCCTCCTAGACAAGTCTGGCACCAATTTGCCAACCCTAGAGAGATGAAGGGCTTCACAGGCCAGCGGTCCGGAGATCGATAGCATGTGTATTACAGGGCGCCTCCAACCACTGCGCTACTGGCGCCCTAAAAGCTATAAGAATATACAGATTTATTAACGAGATCCAAGTTTCCTCATCCTACTAAAAAAGAAACACTGGTTTTTTGGCCCTTCGCAGATTGCTTTTTTTTTCGTCGATCCTTCCTTTTCGAGTATCAAAGTGATGCAACAACCAAGATTTGGTTCAGCAGTCCGTTGACCGTGGTCTGGTGCTACCGCATGAGCACTTTGTGTACTAGAAATCTGAACTGTTTTTTTTCCCCTTTTTGAAGATTTGGGTACGATATCGTTCGACATAATTAATAGTTTGATATAAACGATATCAAGACCAAACCAACATTTCCGACAAATTTCGTACACTCTCACAACAATATAACAAAACCCTTTCCGTAGTTTAGACGTCCACAGATACACTACGTTCGTCCTACTCCCAATTGCGAATATTCAGGACTACGCCTTAGAATTATTGCTCTGGATCAATGGTACGAAGGCCAATAAAAGCTTGTGGACCCATGCAGTGGCACAGAGAAACACATGTGGAAAACTACAAACGATCCCACCAAATCTAACGAACGCTCAGATACAGCAACCTTAGCATCTCATCGTCTTCCATCCATTCGTGGTACTTCTGGACGTGTTCCTCCTCATAGGGAATGAGAATAACTTTCTCTCCAATTATTTTCGTATTCTCATTCCTTCTCATCCTAAAAGAAAAAGATTAGAAGGTACATGAGAAGATTTTTGATAAAACACTTTCCAGTAAGGTGAAAGTGTAAAGTTGGAACGGCATACGTGATCTCACAAACAGCATTAGATTCAACGTCTAATTTCCGAAGCAGTCTGGGTTCTAGAATTCCTCTATTACATTTTCTCCACTAAGTTTTGAAATCTGATAAGTTTCTTCATCCTTAGGACGTTGTTTGGCTTTTTAGATACGAAGCGATGTATAAGAATATCTTCCAGTGGGGTCCTATTCCATCAATGGTGGGTTTTTTCAGTCCCAAGTTCAATACACATGTTCTTGTTTTTCTTTAATGCCGCAGTGTACTTAGTTAACTTCTCTTGAGGTAAATCCTATACGCGGCAAAGCAAATGGAGTGAGGATATCGAATCCGTCAGCAGATATGCTACCATACAAAGGGGTGAAAGCATCTCACAAACCTGTTAAAGTTCGTTACATCTCCTTTCTTTATGTAGTTAAATGGTTTCATTATTCGCTGACTATTTATCACTTTGACATAACAGGTTTCTTTACAGGTAGGTGATAGTGCCAAGTTTTTTTTGTCATGTTACTGTATCTTTCGTGTCCTGCCTTCACTAGATTGGATTTCATTATTATGCTAGCAGTGTACTGACATTCTTAAGGTAACTCTGGAAGCCGGCAAAACCTACGCATGGTGTTCATGTGGATTAAGCAACAATCAGGTTGGTGTTCATTAAAAAATTTAAAGAACTAAAGACTTAGACTGTTTTGAGTTCACTATGTTGTCATTCTCATGAAATGACTTCCATTCTCCAATAAATTGTCAACATGTTCTTAAATTGTTGACGTACACGAGGTTGATAAACAGCTTTTATTCGGCTAACGTTTCGACGTGAAAATTGTTCTCTCACAAATATTCATTTTTCGTGTGCACAGAACGTTATTACGGTCAGTATATGATTATTTTATTCACTATGTCGATGTTGTTCTTGTGTAAAACAGTCAAATAGAACAAGCCATAACGATTTTGCCCACTTTATACCTCTCATGTTACGTAGCTTAAGATTGGTTTCCATTCTGCAGATATGACCCATATGATATCGAGAATGACTATTTCTTCCTTTTAGCCGTTTTGTGATGCTACTCATAAGATGGAGGGCCTTACCAATGTTCGCCCTGTCCAGTTCCAAGTACGCATCCTATTCCAGATCTCTACAATTGTTGTTATACGTCTCGTCTTTCGCATTTTCATGCTTGCTTTTTAGGTGGAAAAAACTGTTGATTACCTATTGTGCAATTGCAAGCAAACTAATTCTCGACCGATTTGTGATGGGTCTCACAAGATGGCATGTTTTTTTCTCTTTCAGCTTTTTGTATTGTTAATTTCCTGATGATGGTCTTGAGAACGCTATTTCTGTAGCAGTGCAATGTATACTTCTTCAGGTAAGTGCTGCTCCAAAAGATCTCCACGCCACACGCTTCGTACATTTTGGTGACAATTCACCCGTTTATGACGGAGTCGCACATAAACTTGGATACAGGCCGAAGAATGGTGGCTTCCAGTAACTAGTGGCTTTGTCATGATATAGAGTCGATAAATCTCCTATTCTACGCGAATTTTTTCTTCAAGTGTGGTTTAACACCAGTGTTTTCCTGTACCTGAAGTACGGAGTGCGTACGATTTCAGGTTCTGTATCATCAGTGGTGCTCTTCACTTTCGTTATTTCTCGCTTTAATTAAAAACATTGCTTCCCATCTTCCAGTTTTTCAGAGAATGTTGGGTTTTTGTCCATTTTGTGGGTCATTGCTACAGGTAGAGGAAGGTGATTCATGTATGCAATTGTCCTGTCCTTCGTGTCCATATACTTGTCCAGTAACGAAAAAGGTCAGCAAAATGTTTCACCCGGAACGTAAGATTAGTTACACTACGAATTAGTTTAGGTGAGTAGTCGAATTTATCCGAAACTGAAAGATCTTGAAGAAGTGCTCGGTGGACCATCAGTATGGGATAATGCCCAGGTACGACGCTTGGCAAATCGAATCTCAATTTCAGCATTTGAAAAGCGTTTCTTCTATTTGGTTTACGATGTGTACAAAGTATTTGAGAAATTAACGAATATAGAAGTTGATAAAGGTAAAAGTATGGGAACTATGGAAGCTTACCGCATGGAATGCGTATTTATATTATTGACCGGTTGAGTGATAGGGGGTACAGGTGGTCATTTATGCATTCTTTGTAGAAAGGCTAATTAGTTATTAATAGTTTTAGATGACTCCACTTTTATCCTCTACTTTCTCATAGTATTCTTCACTACAAATTTTACTAAACAAAACGCAACTATAAGTATAATACGGTACTGAAATGACTTTTTAGACGAATCTCTTTGGTTCACGTAGATAAATGGAAGGTTAAAGGTGGTCGTATAATATGGCTTAACCATGTGTGCGGCCCTGCGGTCTGCGCAGGAATCCCTCATCGATGGATTCTAAGAAGATTAGTATCCAAGCTAATTAGTAGTTACTAAGGTAGTGAAAGGGCGCGTGTGGCACAATGGTTGAAGTCGCCATTGCTACACACGATTGGAATCGATCCCGGCGCCCATGGCCCACCAAGCCTTCCATCTCTCCATGGTCGGGAAATTGGTACCAGACTTCTCTGGGAGGATAGCAGCACTAGCTCGATACATCGGTAGTCCACCCGAGTCATTGTAAAGGCCAGATATGGATTCAGTCACCTCCAACGATACTTAATATCGAATACATGGGCCATCCCTTAGTGATTGATCAACGCCGAGAGCTTTATTTTTTCATTTTAAGGTGGTGAGTAACATAAGTAAAGGGGGCAGTATTCTCTTATACTGAAACGCAGGTTGGTTCAGAGGTGGAATACGAAGAGTGGTTCGAAGGCATTTCCTAAAAGTTCGAAGTCGATTTTGAAACAAACATGGCAAACTCCCATGGTACTTCGAGAAAGAGCATCCAGTACGACAGTTAGGAGGATACGAAGACTACAAATTGTTCTGAATTGCAGAAATCTGTAAGGGCAATTACGGCGACCCATAATTTACAACATATCCTATGCTGGAAGTTTCCGTTGAGAAACTGTTGAATAAAGGAGAAGACGTTGAGAACGTGTCATTGTAGTCGCTAAGATGAGAAAACATTGCCCATTAACACATATTACTGCAGATAATGTTTTTTCGACAAGATAGTGACTGACGGTTTCAGGATCACTAGAATATTTGAGCAGTTGAGAGCTTTAAGAACGTGTGGAAGGTCTTCTCTATAATATTATGTGGATACATATTCTTGCACTACGTTCTTTTATTTTTGAATCTTTCTAGAATTAAAATTCCCAAAACAGTTGCAGGAGCCGTTTATACTAATGGTGCCTTCGAGAACGTCATTCTGAGTTGCTGCACAGAATCGTGCTTGCTTAGTTGCTTTTCTGTTTGACATTCGAACCCTGACATGAGGAAGAGAAAAGTTACATTTTATGGACTCCGGAATAATGGAGTTCCATCGCTGTAGAAGAAAATGGAAGAATGTGTCTAATCAGCTAGTATATGTGGATTTTACTGGTTTCTCTTTCAGTGATCTCTGAAGCGTTTTGATTTGACCACTATTTTCGCATAATATACATAAAACATAACGTATACCTAGACTGAGTTTGTTCATAAATATCAATTCCTTTCACGACTAGCATTGGATGTCTACGATCAAAACGTAGACAAACTTTCTTCCAAATAAAAGCCTGAAAAAGGCTGGAACTTTGACGAAGACGAAGCTGAAGGACTAAATGGCGCATGTATGGAAGTAGAAGAGTTCGGAGGAAGTTACATCCACAGATCATAATTGGCGACTCGAACACCACGATTAGGATCAGCACAATGGGTAAAGAACTTCACATTGGGAAAAAAAGAACTTTACTGGAATAAACACGAGTAGACAGCTACCTTTGTCGTAACGCTCTTGTTTACTGAAAATTCAAGAAATCTTGCAACGGTAGGCGATGACGTCCCCATCTCTTACCGCAAGCTCCGGCAGACATCAAAGGCCACAGATCAGTGGTCCCACATACGTCAATATGTCGGAAATCAGGAGGCCGGACACGTGAGTTCTTCTCGAGTGTTTTACGAGAAAACCATGACGAGTTGGTCGGATATCTTTGTGAAGGTGCCAGAAAGAAAGCAATATGCTTCATGGAAGCAGACACGATATTACAGATGAACATGGATGTAGATGGTAGGTAAAGGACGGTTTGGGATATGGATAGCAGCTAAGCAGATTGTGATGCCCAAACTTCTTCTGTGCGTGTTCCTTATGTCTTGCGTAAAAGCTGTGTATCTACGAGAAGAGGTGTCCTGCATAGAATAACCTCGTCTTTAATCGTAAATTTCTGGCAGTGATAGGTCACTTGTTTCTGCAGAACGTAACTGTGAAAGGTGAAGTCAGTCATACCGAATAGGGTATTGGCGTACCGTCCTAACTACTACTTGAAATTTCTATATTGTGCTCAAACTGTAGTTTCCAGTTATGTGGTTACAACAATTTGTTTACAAATACAATGGCGCTGAGATATTTGCAAAACTTCCGCAGAGCAGATGTCTGCGGTTGGGCTCGAACACGCTATTACCTTTTCCGCGGGCTAACACGTTCACCACCACATACGTGTCCTTCGTTTCGCCATTCTCTCAGCCGTTTTCTGAGTCCGTTTTGCACATGCGGTCCGGAGTTTTGCAAATATCACAGCACCGTTATGGCTGATTTCGCATAGTACCCGGCCGTGAAGTTTCTATTAGGCAGTAAATAAAAAAGTTAACAATGTATTTACAAATGTTTAGGTGACAGATGAGCGTTGTCCAAAGTGTTCACATGAACGAGCCTATTTCATGCAAATACAGACTCGATCAGCCGACGAACCGATGACAATATTCTACCGATGTGCGAATGTTGACTGTACTCATCGGTGGAAAGATTAACATCCAGTTTCCTTCAGAAAAAAATTAAAAATAAACTTTTACTCCTATTATTCTAACTGGTATTTTAATATGGATCGTGTCCATTGTATGCTTACCCGTGTATATGACAATTGATAACAAATAACCAATTCGACAGCAACTAGATTCTGATGACCTAATGTTTCATTTATAGTATTCTATCTACTTCTTCAAGCTTTTCTGGTACTCTTCTTTAAAAATCTTTTTAAATCTATCTATTTGTGAAGGCACTTCCATCTTCTCAACTCTTTCCTCCAGTGTTTTTCTTCCTCTGACGATTGTTTTAGCGATAGAACGGATAGGAGCAGATTCGGATAACTGAAACAGTAGAAGTAGAAGTAGGAAAGAATTAGCCAGAAGGATTTCCAATAGGTTCGAAAGAGCCAGCACAAGCGCTCATGGCGTCCTTCAACCACTACGTTTTTTTTCTCTCCGTAGAGTGCAATTTCTACATTCGGATTTCGCAAATGCTTGAACAATGCCGCATTTATGCAGCGTTGCACAGAACAGTACTCGGTACATACGTGGTAGAACGCCAGCGCTTAACAAGATAGAAAACATGTTGAAGTACACAAGACTTTATGTTGGATACTTGAACACTTGGATGTTCCGTATTCACTGGTTGTGGGGCACCCAGCATAATTTCCATTTTTTCAGTTTTACTGGTTTAGCTATTGTGGTTCCCTGGAGTCCTGAGGTCAACCTAGTCAAAGTCTGCCCTTGGTCGTCACCACCACAGGCAGTCGTTGCCATTGTGGATCAGGAGGAGATTTGCCACCTGACTAACTTGATACCAGGACGGTGGTGGATCCTGGTAATGGTTTATTCATAGTTGGGCGATGGAGAGGTGGGACTCCTCAGTTTGAGGGACTCTGCTGGGGGAATGAATCCTCCCGCAGTTCATCACAACCCAACACTCGGGAACACCTCGCAGCCACGATGAAACAGTAAACCGTTGGAAGGGACTTTATGTTGAAAACCATATATGAAGGTTTCTAGCTTCCTTTAAGTGGAAATAAATTGCGTGCATATCTCACAACGCACCAGTTATTTGATAACACCGGGAAAATCAGGTCCTACCTGCTGGATTACTCTTTCATCGTTAAGCAGTGCTCTTATGAATCGAAAGACCATCTTCCCTAAAAAGAATTTCAAAAAGGACTTCATCGTATGGAGTGTTATTATCAAGCAATATTCTGTAACATGATGGTTTCAGAGAGAAATAGATCCAAAGCCAAGAAAGTTTCGCGCCTTCTGTCTTCTCGCAAAGACTTATCACTATGAATTTGATCAAGAAAATCATGCAACATAACAAAGTAAGTCGCCAAGCAATTTGATAAACTGACAAGGTGATCATATCAGTTTGTAGGGAAGTCGATCGTCCTCGCCACCGATATCCGGGGACCAGAAAGGCTTATACGCCGTAGCTTCAGATCTTGTTGTAAGCAATAAAAAGCCAGAGGCAGACAAGCAAACGAGTTATGGAACGAAATACTTTGTAGACTTGCCAAATGATATTCAATTGGCGATTTTGCGACAATTATCGTATGACGATATAGCAAAAATAAGAAGGGTTAGTACTCATTGCTGTTCTGTTCTCCATTATATGAACGACTACGGATTGATTTCTTTTGCAGACGTGCAAATTACTGAATACACTATGTTCGTATCTCTTGAACCGAGGTTTCCAACAATTGGGTGTTGATATAGATAAGGAGAAATTACGTATCAAACGAGAATTGCCGAGACGAGAGTCGATGAGAAGGTGTGAACTATGAGATCAACGGGTTTCGTTAGGTTAACCTTTTATTTGCTACCTATTATAATTTTTCATGGCATGGGATGACGGGAAATACAACCGCAACGATGTCTTGTACTGCGCGAGCCCCGGAAAGGGTAACCGTGGTTAGATTCTGACCCGGAGTCCTAGTTTTGCGAAAGTCTCAGCACTGTTGTGGTTGTATTTCACATCGTACTCTGCCGTGAAAAACTGGTAGGCAGCATATAAAATGTTAGCAGTGTGATTTCGACTACAGCCTCAGCTTAACTGTGTTCAATGCCGATTTGTGATCCCACGATCAATCGCGCTGACGGGTGATTGTTGGTGCCAGAATTTGGTAGAAAACCAGCTGAGAGAAACGCAAAGCAAGGGCCTCCATGGCGCAGTGTGTAATACGCGAACCCCCGGAAAGGGTAATCGTGGTTGCGAATATCTCTGTATCTTTATGGTTTGTTTTCGTTATAATGTGGAATTCTTAGGTCTCATCGACTCTCTCGCCTACATGATGCGTATGCTGGTTTAGACACCCGGTTCTCAATTATGATGATGACATATAGGAAATTCATTGATATTAAAGCGACATGCTTCATACCGGGAAAGGCTAGTTTCACAACTTACTTCCACAAATATTGAAATCTTTCCATACACATGATTTCGCTTGCTGTTGCACCTATTTACATTCATTTGCAGGTTCTGGATGAATTTTTCCGTATCCTTGAAATTTTGAAGAAGTCACACGATAGAGGTGGCACACTTACTATAGATATTCACGAACTTTTGAAGGACTTGAGAGACTTATCAAGGTGTTTGCTTCCTACAACTTCATTAATAGAAAGAATAGATTGTTAGCATCATTGAAGTTATATTTCGCAATATACCCTGCCACCAAAAAGAGTAGGCAGTAAATAAAACGGTTAAGAATAGATGGTTACCTCGTCCGTTATTGCACTCAGCAGATCTAACGATCCGTGCAACTCCACTAAATTGTGTGCTAAATTGGCGTTCCCTCAGATTGATACAACAAACGTTATATCTCACAAACAGTCGATTTTTCGGATTTGGAACTAATCAAGTAAATGTTGAATGTAACCTGTTTCATTGATAAGCTAAAGTTGTTACCAAATATTTATTCGGCTAACATCTTGACGTCCTTGTCATCGTTACAGCCGATGATCCGAGTCGATGGTCCACAGTCGCTAGTTTTCTCGATGTACCTTCGTCGTTCGTCGTCTTATCGAGTCAAATCTTCTTTAGCAAATCACAGCTAGAATGAGGCAAGCTCACCCGGCAGCGCTGTCCTGTACAGGACCATTGTTGTTGATAATCATCGATCATTCATATCGAAGCCAAGTGAAAGATGCTTTAAATTGTATTACTTATCTATGTACAAGCTTATCTAATACCGACTACTGTAAAATGGACTGTCCGTTTAAAAAAAAACATTTGCGGACAATCATTATCAACAACAATCGTCCTGTATAAAAGAGCGCTACCAGGTGAAGTTGTCATTCAAACCGTACTCTATTGAAGAAAATTCGACTCGATACGATGACGAACGACTAGGATACATCGAGAAAACGAAGTACCATGGAGCACCGACTCGGAACATCAGCTTTGAGAAGGACGAAGATGTCGAAACGTTAGCCGAATCAATATTTCGTAAGAACCTCGTATTAGCTTATCGATGGAATAAGGTTCATTGATCTTTCATACAAACGTTAAGTGAAAGTCGGTTTACAACAGTGTTAACTATAACTTCGAAATTAACAGCATGGCCATGGAGCATTTTGAAGAACACGTACAACCATCGCTTCGTTCTACAACACCGAGCCCCTTGTCTTCCACGTATTTCATGCCCATACATCCATCATTACGTCCATCTTCTGCCGGGACGTCCTCACCGCCCAAGTTAGTCTTCCACCGTTACAAATCTCTGTAAGTCCACTGAACGTGAATATCCGTTAATCCATTCCTTTAAATACTTTAATTTTCTAGTGAAATGTTTGCGGAAAGCTGTGAGTGGCGAAAAAATATCACTGACAAATTGGCTAAGCAGGATAAAATTATAGAAAAACAGAATTCCGAAATCATATCGCTCAAATCCTGCATTCGGCAACTAATTGTGGTCTGCCAACAGGTAAATGTATCGTTCCAAATGGTTTTGTTTATATAACACTTGAATCTACTCCATAAACCATCCGTCACAGCTATCAACATCTGTGCCTATGGTGAAAAAAGGGATTAATAATCTCTTAGAAGTTATTCTTGATAGCCTTCTACTTGATGGTTCTACGGTAGGTTAATTCATAGTACACATTAACAAACACTACCTCGAGAATACTAGCTGAGATTAAAATCACCTAGGCATCTTGTGAGCCGTCGACGTCAGGCAATGGAATGGAAAGGTTTTTTGCGAAAGGCCGGAAAAGAAAATATAGTAGTGAAGACTCACATATGTTCGACGTCAAGAAAAAGCCACACCACGACGACAACGGAGGTGATGAACACACGAGTGAGAGGCTGATATAGAGTTTCATCTCTGTTATTGTTTTATAACGATTAGCAGAACGGTGAGATGTGATAACATGTGGTCAAACCTTCATGTTGTTCAATAACAATATGGATGTCGATAAATATTTCTCTTGGCACCTAACGGTCCACTATGTCAAGACATTTCGCCAGCGAAATAGCACATACGGTTGCAAAATAGAATGATAAAAGAGAGAATCACAGTGAATTACCCTTTCCTAGTAAGTATCTATGAAGCGTTGCGACAACAACAGCAATAATATTCACAATATAGAAGTGGTTATGAAGCAGGAGTATCCAAATTCTTCAATATATAGTAATCTACGAGGACGTTAACGTTAAGACGGAAATTATCCAAATGACTAGAAATATGCTCGATACAAAGATCATCGAGGCCTTCTTTTCCTAGAGCAACAGCCTTTAGAATAGTCCTTCGGTAAGGGGCAGCGTGAATCACAAGCTAAAACAGACCACCATCAGTAGGGTGTTTCCCAATCACCAGGAACGTTTCTGAGTAATGAATAAGCTTTTAAATTAGGAATGAGATAGAAGAAACATAACTTGAATAACTGCTTCGACATGAATCCATGATGTCGCTTAAGGGACCTTTCGTATGCCGTATTAATAACGCCAACAAGGTTATCCGTTTTCCTCTTGTCAGTACTTGAATTATACTCCTGTACCATAAGAGTGAGCATTTCTAACATGAACTCAAGACCTCTGAAATTATTCACTTCCGGAAGAAACGGTGAAAACTGCAACAAATAGACTTCAAAGGTTAGAAATCGGCAAGGATGAAAATAGCATAGCTGGCCTTTTCAACCATAGCAGACCTTCTGTTGCATAACCCAATCTGCCACCATTATCCTTAAGATCGATATCAATCAGATCTTGTAGGAAATGCTGCCCTAAAAAGCTTAAAACGGTGTGTGTTATAAGTACATATTAAAACATTAGAAGAAACAGTTTTCAACTTATTCTATCCTTTTCGTAGCGGGTTCGCACCTTCACGACATTGCTGTTAATATCAGCCTTGACAGGTAAAAATGCTGTTCCTAAGAAGCCTAAACATTCACTGTATAGCAGGAACCTAGTAAAAACCGTATGTGTCAAAGGAGTTGTTTTCTATTTAGATACTTGTGTCCTCATATACGTCTTCACTGGTTCTGTGGGCCCCAGCATAATCTCCACTCCCCGGAGACTTCCTGGATTAGCTGTTGTGGCTCCCTGGAGTCCCAAGGTCAGCCTGGCCAAAGTCTACACCGGGTCGTCACCACTACAGGTAGTCACCCAACTTGTGGAACAGAGAGATTTGCCACCATGCGACTAGTTTGATACCAGGACGGTGGTGGATCCTCGTATTGGTTTACTCTTAGCTAAACCTCCTGATGGAAACGCCGGACTCCTTCTCAGCTTGGAAGACCCTTTTGGGGGATGAATACTCTGCTGTACACCGCAGTTCGACACTCAGGAACACCTCCCAGCCACGATATGAGGCTGTAAACTGTTGGTAGGTGCTTTCTACCACTCGAAGTTATTACTAAGGCGAAGATAAATCAATAATCAAACGGAAAAAAAGACATTTATAATCCTCACCCACAAAGTCGGCAATGCCCTGACAAGCGCTGAGAAATGGTTCGGTGGGAATCTTGCCATCTTCAAGATGGGGGAAGAGATGCTCTGGTTTAGCAAAATAGGTCTCTTCATTTGACGGGCTACTGACACTCATTGAGCACTGAAATATCTTGCAAATAACTTTGAAAACACGAAAAATAGAAATAGGACTAAATGACTATCACTGAAATAACGAAGGTTTGGATGCAGTACACAGTTTCTATTGCTGTCCGTAAGACATTTTAACGCTAAAAAACTGTTGAAGAACTCCCATTAGAAATGCTTCGCGAGTTTTAGGGGTCCCAAACCATGTGATACTGAAAACTTCTTCGCGGAACGCTATAGGACGTTGTGCTAGGAACAATACAAACAATCCCCCGCGACATTCTCAGAAAGAGAATCCAAAAATCGTTATCTTGCCTCCGCTACAGTACCCTCAATCTGTACGAGACCTGCTTTTGCACTAGGTCGCGCCCCGGGCGGCACAACTTCTCCGCGTGGGCCGTTGGTGCGGCCGTGTGACCACGTTGTGACCCTGTTTCAATCTTGGAGTTCCGTTTGTCGTTGGTTTTACTTTACCTAGGTTGTTGTACATTTCCTTTCGAACATCGTACTTGTGTGTTTCTGGAGAGTCCGATTCGATATCCACTAAATGTTGCTTTCAGATTAAGAATGTACTGCCAACGCCTCGCTCTTCCTCTGACACGCGTTATGACCGTAAGTTTGTCTCGATACTGAGTTTCTGGCTTAGTTGGTGGGTAAAGAGATGCATGTGGTCGGGGGTGCCCTGCAGTGCACATGAGATCAATCCATGCGCCCAAGGTTCACCAAACCGTCCAGCACTCTGGGGTCGGCAAATTGGTGCCAGACTTGTCTGGGAGGTAAGCAGCACTGGTTCGATACATCGGTAGGTCACCGTGAGTCATTGTAAAGGCCAAATATACATCCAGTCGCTCTGAGCGATGCTTAATAAAGTTGAATGCATAGCGCACCACTCAGGGATTGATCAACGCCGAGAGCTATTTTTTTATTTACAATATGGGTATTGGAGTGTGTTATCCTTGGGGTGGTCGTTCTACTACTGTGTTCGTTTTCCTAAATATGTGTGTGTGACGTTTCCTTATCTTCCACTAACTGATGAAACGTCCGTTTCCTTACATTACTATGTTGGAGAATTTAACGTAGCGGTTTTAATGTGCTCTTTGTTACTGAACTTTTTTCAGGTGAGTCGAGCTCCACTAGCTTTCCGTATGGAGTCTATGCTGGCCAACCGATCCCTTCATACTACTATCGTTCACAAGGATATTGACAGTGCTGCGAAGTACATTGGAGCTGGAGCCGCTACTGTCGGTGTCGCTGGATCAGGAGCTGGTATTGGCAATGTGTTCGGAGCTCTCGTTATTGGGTACGCTCGAAACCCGTCGTTGAAGCAGCAGCTGTTCTCGTATGCAATTCTCGGTTTCGCCCTTTCTGAGGCTATGGGACTTTTCTGTCTCACTATGGGTTTCATGATTTTGTTTGCTCTTTAAGGTTACTAGTTATGATTCGTCTTGGCCACCTATGTGTTTATTGTTAATATGGATTTCGGAGACGCATAGTTTTTAGAATAATAGGTTCTCATGAAGAGTCGGTGAGCATGTTCGCGTATAAACAACATAAGCCTAAAAATCAATATATGAATCAATTGCGGAAGCGGTGTATGAACTCGCAGAGTTTGCTTATCCCTAGAAGGACTACGCCCGTGGACAATAGGAAGTACCCACTTGTTTCACAAATACGTTTTGGAATCTGTGGAAAATGTTTTGAAAGAGTTACGAACATAGGAGACATCGATTTATACAATGTCATGAGTCACTAGTGTCAGAGAAACGGCAGTGAAAAAGATCAGTGAAGTGGGCATGTGGATAGAGTTTATGAGTTTAGGAGGAAATCGTTTAAACATAATTTCCAAAGGTTGCTGTTCGACAAGTGATTGTGGTTTCTCGATCACTAGATTTTTAAGGACTTGAAGACTTCATACATTTTTGGAAGAAAATGTCATGTCACTTTAATATCTTACGTAGTTTTTACAAGATATTCTTTCATCTTCAAATATCATTAGGACTCAAATTTTCAAGAAATTGGGAATGAAGCGCAGAGCGCAACGAAGGGGGTTCGCTCCACAACTAGGGATACATGGTGTAGCACCATCATTTCGTGCTAGACGGAACCGGCGTCTTAAGTTGCTTTGCTTTTCAAAATATGAGCTCTAATTTTAGAAAAGGGAACGCGATATGTTCTGTGGGTTCCCTTAAATCACAAATTCGTCTTGTTAAGGTACGAGAATTTGTATGTTGACGTAGAATTGTAGAATTAATTGCTTCCTACTTCAGCTAACTATGTTCGATATGAGCGGAAGTTTCGGCCTAGTTCTAGAGAATGTTATTATTTTCGTAACAAAGACAATGGTTGGTGGATGTCAGATACTAACAGTTTAAATCTGTGCTATGTTGTTTCTTCGCACATTTATGCAACATGCGCGAGGAATTACGTGAAAGAGAACGGTGTGAGCCACATTTGAGCCCTAAAGAAACTAGCCAGACTCATGTCTCGTTTTTAGGGGTTCCGCTTAATGTCGTTTAGTCGTCGTCGTGGTTCTGCGCTGAGATGCTTATCCTTCGGTCATAGGGTGCTGCAGAGCCAGTTGGAAAGCGCTCCTATTCTGATCGCTGTAATGCAACAGGTTCACACGAGGATCAGTACAGTGCAGTGCGAACAGACCACCAATTCTCAAAATATGTTCAAAATTTGGTTGTGAAAGTTGGAAGATCACGGGGCAACATGACGGGCCAGAGTCATTAATGTTTATGCTGTTCATGGAGTACGAGTCAGGAATGTCTTATCAAAACATTTGAACTTCTTGGACACATTTCCTTCCCCATTGTTCATGCTAGTAGAGAAGTGTGATCAACTTTTGCTGTAGAACTTTGAGCATGGGAATCGTTAAGAAGTTCAACTAATGCAGTTCAATCTCATACGTCATTGACCACAAGATTTATTCCAAAACAATAGAAATACCAACTTTGCTACCTACTAGACAACGACTACCTGAGCAGCCAGGTACATCTAGTGCAAGCTTTGTTGCGAAAGATGACCATCAGCTTGTCACTACAAACAAACTTTCCTTTATTTCTGCATCCTTTCAACGCTTGCAAACACATTTATTTGACTTATGGTAAGGTCGGTTCTTAAATACAACAATATACATCTGTACAATCAATAACAATCACAATTAGATCAACTGATTTGCTGAATAGAACTCCGTTTATTAATCACATCGAGTGGGAACGAATGGCGAACGGGATCCTCTGCCCCGCGACGTCGCAGCTCAAATTCGCGTATGATGAATCGTACGGAGTCGCTGGCAGATGAGACTCGCCGGGGAGTTCGAAGGCACGACGTAGAGTGAGCTCGTGAGCTCCCATTCGAAGTAGCTCGGCCTTGTCCATTGAACTGAGGTGCGTGGCGATGTCGTGACGCCTCTAGGACGCCGGCGAACGTATGGAGTTGCTCCATGAAACCCTACAATGAAACTAATATTCGTACTACAGTAAATGAAGATACAGCAGAGCATGTGCGAGCGAATTAATCACCGAATTTATAACCACACCATTCCAAGATATAGTTCCACCCATATGAAACCTTCTGATGTATATACTGTCCTTTCTTTAAGGAATTTTTCGCTGTAGATTTGTTACGGGAGATTTATCCACAAATATACCTACTCGTTCCAAAGCTACGAAAGTTCAGTGCGGTATGAACGAATATTTCTGACATCCCTACGTCGCAGTGTAGAAATGGAGTTTAGTAAGGACTTCTATTTTAGCAATAAGCAAAAATAGAACCTCAATCACCTTATTGGGAGTGATGCAATTCCTCCTTTTCTTCACATACGCCAACGCATGTTCCAGACTCCATCCATATTCTTTCATAGCGTACGCAATTACTGTCGAAGAGCTACGGCTAATACCCTTTTTGCAGTGTACCAAACATACTTTGCCCAGTTCTCTTAAAGTATCGTTTTTTGACACGACAATTAAGTGATGAGGAATCTTTCAACTTCCACTGGAAAGAACACTTACTTCGCCTCCTTAATAAAGCTATAAGTGAGGTTCCAATTATTCAGCAAGTTAGTGCTCGCCTCATCAGAAACCGAGATCTTCACATACTTAAAATGCATTGGGAAGAAGTTGTCCACCTCTCGAGTCATATTGAGGATATAGCTCACACTGGAATATAGAAACTTTCATCAGAAAGCAGAAGCAAAGTGAATAATGTATACTAAGAGGACAATTAGCAGGAATATAAAGAAAAATACTAACTTATTCTGATTAAGCTCTTCCCAATTTGAAGCATTCCACTCAGTTCCGAGTAAAAGATAGGGGAAAATACGACTTGGTTTATCCATTTGACCCAATATCACGAGCATTTCTCGATCAATGAAGTCCTTCAGATGAAAAAAAACAGATGGAGATTACATGGCTAGTGTGTCAGTACGCAAACCTTACCTTGTGCCCATCCACACATCCAACACGTTGTGCCAAAGTTTCTCTGATATCACGACTTGTAACGCTGTCCAAATCTACACTTTGCATGATTTGTCTCAACTCCCTTCTCAACAATGCTTCCTTTAAGAAGATGTTTGAAATTAAAACAGTCAACTGACGCATTTCTGGAGGACTATCATCTCCTGTTCAAACATAATTCCACTTTCAGTAATGGTGCTTACCTTTGCTCTCTCTTCTTCAGAAAGATAATCTCGAACCGCATCAGCTTTAAACTCATCTTCGCAATCCGCATCCATTGGCGACTGTTGCCTGCAAGATTATGAATCAACGGGTCTTTGGTAATTTAAAAACAACATTTGTCATTAACAGACAAAAAAAGTGATCAAGAAGGGTTTACCATTGGGCGCATAAGAAATCTGGTGACGATATGTGGTCCATGTAATATTCGGTGGTAGTTGCAGGCTCTCTAAGTCTTCTCGTTTCACGACGTGTACCGTCAAGTTCTTTATGGAGAGATTGGAAGACGAACCTAAAATATAAATGCCAAAAAATTTTGTAAACTGTCGAAAATGTGTCTTTCGATTCGATATTTTCTCCTGAAAACAACTAAAGTACTGAAAAATGAGTGGGTTTCTCCACCAAACATTTTACTGCCTCGTCGCAGATTTTGTGGTAAAGCGGGATAACCCCTGTTCGTCAAGATGCGATGTAAAGCGGAGTTACCCTAGAGTGGGACATCGCTGAGTGAGAAGTTCGACACTTCCATACAGAAGCCTGGGTAAAAGTAAAGCAATGCCAGCAATTATCGCTCGCCTAGTATGAACTAGGTCGCAAATCTACCTAAAGTCCACAAGGACCAACGATTGTTGTGTTGACGATTTGGGAAAACTAATAAACAACACATAAGGTCCTCTTTTGTAGCGCTCCAAACTCTTTTCCTTTTCTACACAGACTATTCGGAGCAAGATCACCTTCTTCTTACGTCTAGTTTCATAGGTAATCGTACTCACAGGAATGAAACAATCTTGGTTCGTTCTTCTTGTGTCAACTAGCGGATGTCTAAACAATTCCAGCTCAGAAAAATCCCATTCTTCCACAACGTTCCATCTTCCTCCTGTGCTTGAGGCCAGTGGACTTCCTCATTACGCTCATTACTGACCTTCCGAATCTCTATCTAACTGATGTTGAACTCTTCACATTAAAGGATCCCATTAGATCGTTTGAGGATCGTTGTATGAATTACCACAATTCCTCACTTTGTATCTTCTCACAAGACTGCGTTAATGAATTCACTTTCTCAATTTTCAGTGGTAACCATGAGTTATGTAATATAATGGATGAAATACATAAGTAGTTCAGTGTTGATCGAAAGCGCACAAATCATGCAAACATTTGTGAAAGAGGGACCCGAATGACTCACCTTAACTTGGAAAAAAAACATTCAAAGAGAGAAGGACAAAACGAAACAACTGGAACTATAAAGAAATGAAAACTTACTTGGATACTTTGATGGTCCGTGCTCACTCGTTGTGCAGGCCCCAAAATAATCTCTAATTTTCTGGAGTTTTGCTGGTTTAGTAATGTTATTCCCTGCAGTCCCGAGATCAACCTAGCGAAATTCTGTCCGAGGTCTTACCACCACAGGCAGTCGCCGCCTTTGTGGAACAGAGAGATTTGTCACCACGCGACTAGTTTGGTACCAGGACGGTGGTGCATCCTTGTACTGGTTTCCTCCTAGCTGGGCTTCCCGATGGAAACGCCAAACTCCTTCTCAGCTTGTGAGATTGTTGGGGGATGAATTCCCAGCTGTACATCGCTGCCCGACACCCAAGAACACTTCCCAGCCACGATGAGGCGGTACACCGCTGAGAGGAGAAATGAAAAAAGTGCTTTCAAATCCAATTCTTCAAAAAAAGCGGGCAGTCATTGGGATACTCCGGCTATGCTGTTTACGTTACAAAGTGAAAAAATCCAACTAAACAGTTGTAAATGAGAGGTTCCTAAGCTGCACGCTTACCACATGGCCTGCACAGATACTGGCCGAAAGAGAAGAGCATTGTCTACTTTGCTGCAAGAGCCAGACCCATAGACAGCAACACCTCCATCTCCTGCAAGTTCAACGCGACTACACCACAACAGCGGCAGGACCACACCTATTCTGAAATAACACCATTGGCGGAAGAATACACAGAACCAATCACAATAACATACGTCATATGTTCTTTGTAGTAATCCATCCCAATCAACAAAGTTAGTTTTTCATCGTCATCAGTTGAAACGACAGCAAGATATCGAGCATGGTCAGCCACCTTAACGACACAGAATGTGTTCTACAACTATACAAGAAGGTTACCACAGAGAACAACCATTCCTTTCTTCAAAACTTTAAGTTTAAAACTGAAAAATAGATGAGATTACGAATAATACTTGTGTTTGAAGCCTGACTGCCATGCTCATTTTGTCCTGGGGACGTAAACTTCTCAGCATCAACTGCAGGTGGCTTTCTATCTCAGCACCATTTGCAGAACCATGCGAACAAGTAGGAGAATTATCTCTAAATCAAACAATGTTGACTACTCAGTTCCAGAGAAGAAGAAAGCAGACTTTCAGGGAACAAAGGACTTTCAAAGACCGCAATGAACGACGCTGAAAGGTAATATAAGTCAAAATATATGTAAAATCCAGAATAACTATTAAAAACGGTGCTTGCCCGTGTGGTAGAATGACAGCAGCTCCTCTGACGGCAAAATAACACTCAGAAATGCTCCGATTTCGGGAAGAACATCTTGAATCCTCAAATTCCTTAAACAGACAGCAAATACATTTGGTATTCCTGGCCGAACGAAAAAACTAAGGCATAAAAGCCACATCACATTAGTTTTCGAAAAACAGAAAAAAGAAGACAGAGTTTGGATCATGGATCTGCAATACACATAGGATCGATCCCCGCGCCCTTGGCTCACCAAGCCTTCCATCCCTCCGGGGTCGGCAAACTGGTACCAGACTTGTCTGGAAGAATAGCAGCGCTGGCTCGATACATCAGGCACCACCGCAAGTCATTGTAAAGGCCAGATATGCATTCAGACACCTCCAAACGATACTTAATGAAGTCGAATGCATGGTGTATCCCTTATGGGTTGATTAACGCAGAGAGCTTTATCCTTTTTATGGATAACTAACAAATGCAAAATATTCCCAAATTAGAACTGAAGGCTAAAAGGAAAAAGGATCAAACCAAGCGAAAAAAAAGAATGCAAGGTTCTAAACTGACCACAGCCTCACATTCATCGACGATCGATGGCGATGGTGAGCGTTGTACTTGAACGAGCGACATGCCAAAGGTCAGATGAAGTGGTTTTGAAGAAAGAGTGAAGAGTACAGCATTCAGAATACACGACGTCGAGCAATCGGGTTATGGCTGGCTGGAGGTCGGTGAGTCACAGCACGATCGTCATCGGCCGAACGACGTCCCAAGTCCTGGAAGCCACAGCACGAAGCATTACTGAAGCGAGGGGCGGAGAGGAAGGAGTTCGGACATGAAACGGAGCAGAAACAAGGAGTAGATTAGGGGTAGGAAACGGGTGAAGAACTTAGGGAATCATTTCATACAACACTCACAAACAATTCAACGAAAACAATACGTATTGATTTGGATCCAAATATCCACATATGCACATACTAGCTAGAAAAACACTTGAAACAATCGGTGAACTTATATCAAACCAGTTGGAACGAGTAACAGGTGAAGTGAAAAAGCTCTTCAAGAAGCATCTGTTCTTCATCCATTAATGGTGTTAAAAAACGAACGTTTTAAAGGGGAAGCTCATCCAACGGTTTGTGGACTTGCTGGGAGGCATCTATTAGGAGTTATTCAAATTCACTGGACCTTGCCAAAGCATGACAAAACCTGCCAAGCTGGGGCGGAGGCTCCACTCATCTCCTTCAGTGAAAAAGCTGCATTTCCGGTTCATTCGAGTGTCCTTATTCCCTAAGCTGTTTTAAACCATAAAAACTGTCAACGTCACGGACGCTCATCAATAAGGCTAAAAATCAAAGCGAATAAGGACAAAACAACAACGCACGAGCAGATTCTTAAACTAGAACAATCCGGACGTGGATTTCTTTGGCAGTTGTGGCTTCCGGTGGAGTGGATCGAGCTGGCAGGTTAGCCGAATGTGGGAATGCAGCATCGCAAGCCGAGCCGGCGACGATCAATTCAGCGGCGGGTCGCCGTCGCTCCCTCCCACGGCCGTCCGTCGACCAACCGCCAGCCGCTTCCCCGTGCTATGCTGAGCTCCCATCGGGAAACCCTCTCTCCAGAGTTCATTTCACCAGACCGGATCTGGTTTCTTCCCTTTTCATTTCTTCCTGCTTTTGTTTTTTTCTCACACTTTTTATCGGGAACGCTTATTGATTAGTTGTTTTCGTTTTCGAGCAGATTGAAATCAAGGAGTTCTACCGTTAGTCTTTCTGTTTTCTTCCACATTCGCTTTTTCCACTTATCGTTCAGATGTGTTCCATTCAAAGGCCAGCGAGATGGTTAGGGTTTAGCACGCCTGCCACCCAAATCCGATGCCGAAGAAAACCTGCTTTGTTCATCAGCCTTCCAGGGTTTCCAGCTTGCTAGAAAGTTTTGTCTTAGGCGACTTGAAAACCCTCTCTTACATTCGTTCCTCAGTTGTTTTGCAATACTTTCAATGTCTACTCTGCTGAGAGAAATCGTTTACCTTGAATATGAACATGATTTCTAGCAAAATTGCATGAATATGAAATTGTTATCCTCTCTCTCTGATCCAAGTACTAACAAGGTCCAAGCTTGCTTAACTTGTCACATTGGACAGCATGGCGTGTTTTCAAAGTGGTATGGCCCATCCCATTCATTATGCGGATGGCCCAACCTAACCATGCGTGCTTCAACACCGTCACAGACTCACCAAAGCCTGAAGTCCACTCTCTCTAGTTGAACTTGGAACGCCCTAGCATGGTTACCTCGAGATTTCAAGAAGAATCGTCTTGATCAGCACTTAACGACATTGATGACGAAGACGAAAAAATCCTCAGCCTGAAGTCGGGGTCACGGGCGAAATAGATTGAAGAGCTTTATGGGTGGTGGATGCCAGGAAACGAATCGAATACAAGAAGTGTTGGGATCTGCACTGTGTGATACATTTGAAGTCGGGTTATGTAATATATAAACAATAAAGTGAACCTTTATACACTACTGGGGGCTCGTGTGGCGCAGTGGTTGGAGGTGCCGTGCAATACACATAAAATCGATTCCCGCTCCCCTGGCCCACCAAGCCTTCTATCCCTCCAGGTTCGGCAAATTGGTAGCAGACCTATTTGGGAGGATAGCATCACTGGCTTGATACATCGGTAGGCCACTGCGAATTATTGTAAAGGTCACATCTGCATTCAGTCACCTCTAAGCGATGCTTATTGAAGTCGATTGCATCATTGCGCTTCCCTAAGGGTTAGGTCAACGCCGAGAGCTTTATCCTTTATTTTATCCTTTGTACACTGCTGGGTGAGTTTTTCATTCGTTGTATTGTCTAATATTAGTAAAAACAGAAATATCATAACTCTGCAGAGTTGCACTTTGGCTTTCCTTCAGTGATTTCGAGTTTCTCTGTGCTGCAGTCACAAGTTCAAATAACGAAAAATCTGGAAGAAGGCGTTTTCAATCTTCACACTTTCTTGTTTTCGCAAGTCGTACACTCCATCACATTTTCCATTCAACCGGCTTTTAATGTTTGGATTAGCCTGTTTTCTTGCTATAGTCCTGGAATAGCCGCGCTATGGCGTTCGCGGGTGTTCGGAGTGGACAACGATCTCACCGTACGACACGGTGGGGGCGCTGAAGCATAGAAGTGTTCTTCTCAGTTCGCAAAAATTTCGATCTCATTGCTGGTCTCAAGTTAACCTACCACCAATTTCTGTCCTCAGCATCCGTTTTAGTGCTAAAATAATTACTAAACAGTGGAATAAATCCATTTTTCATCACCTCTCTGTTTACCTTTCACACACAAAAAAGGGAAAAACGTGTGTAGAACAACAACCAGTGTGTGAGCAGAAAGAAAACGGAAGGAAGAACACCTGACATTGACGTAGCAAGTAGCCATTTCAATTGGTTACAAAACTGTGGCTCCTCGTTATAGGTGTAGAGGAGAAACCACGCTACCAAACGGCATTCTAGCGAGAATATTGTCCGGTTTGTCCTTCCCTTCATTTCCAACGAATGAAGGACAGCTATAAAATTTGCTTAGGAAAGGCCAGCCTAGAGAATTTGGTAGCTGTGATTGGAATACCACTGAACACTCAGGCGCCAACTAGTTCGTAGCCACGTGTATGTCTGTGTGCAACACAAAACTACATAATTGGCAGTAACGGTAGAGACGGTGATTTCATGAGTTCGCGTATGATTTATCTGATCTCTTGTAAAATATGCATGGTCGAATACATTGGCGGAAAAGGTAGGGTTTTCTGCGTTCGTATAAAAGAACACCTGGTAGGTAAACTTGAAGTGGAGCCAACTATTCCATTGCGCGCGCATAGGACACAATGACATAATGCGGGAGATTTTCAAGTAGAAGTTACCATCCTCACACAGGAATCGAAAACTTCAGCGTCAAAACTCTCGAAGTGTTCTGGATTCCAAAAATGAATTACGAGGATGAATGCTTCGTTATCACGTGTGATATCACACAATAACTCAGACTGATATTTCAATGTGATATTTCACATTACCCATCCACGTGAGCTCTGTACGGTTGCTATCCACGTGAAATACTCCGTGGAAGACTCATAAAAAGCGGTGATTGTGGAAAGAAGCTATGTTATTTTCCATGATCTTGGTTTTCTTCTGGAGTTATGGAGATATTTGGCTAATTGGATTGCAGGGAATTTAACCTTTCCAGGCTTTGAAGAAGGCTAAATCCTCCAAAATATCAGCTTTTGTGAAAAGAGAGTATAATAACGAACTCGTGTGTTCTTGGCAAGAAAACAACAAATCGCTTTTAAATGTTGTGACCTGCTACTGTAGACCTTTCGAAAGGGTAGTGTTGGGAGGGCGCGTGTAGCGCAATGGTTAGAGGTGCTCTACCATACCCACATGGTTGTTGCTTTGATCGCACATCTCGCGCAGACAAAGCCTTCCACTCCTTCGGCATGAGCGAATTAGTGGCAAACTTGTCCGGGAGGATGGAAGTACTGGTCCGACACAACATAGGCCTCCGCAATTCACTGTACAGAGCAGACCGCCTCTATGATGCTTGATGGAGTCGAATGCATGGTGCATCATAAGGGATTGACCAACGCGGAACGCTTTTTACGGTTTAAGGTGGTATTGTGCGTGGCCGGTTTAACGACTATACATCATTTGTTTTCCTTCAAAATGAGTACAAAGTGTTTCGTGGACATCAGGGCTCTAGTGCAGTTGTTATAATTACGTAGTAGTTTCTTAAGGTTTTTGCAGCCTTTAACACGCTGTGATTTTACCTTTACTTGATACTTGATACTTGAATGAGCCGTCCTCACTGGTTGTGCTGGCCCCAGCGTAACCTCCATTTTTCGGAGATTTGCTGGTTGAGCCACTGTGGTTCCCTGGAATCCCATAGTCAGCCTGGCCAGAGTCTACCCCAAGTGATTTTAGCTTTACATTCAGTAAAGCTGTCAGCCTTTCCTGCTACAACGGTGTCATTTGCATGGATTACCTGTTAATGTCTAACATAAAAAAGAAAGAGGTACTAACTCCTCGTGAAAAATGGTTTCTTTTTTAGGAATTTGGAACGATAACGAAGATATACCGTTTTTGACCACATCCTTAGCAGTGAGTGTTGCACTCTACGCCGTGAAGCCATCGTAGAGCCAGTTGAATGGGTTCCTTAGGACGCAACGCAGAGTCGAACCAAGGGCCCTGTGTTTGTTGTAGGGCAGGGCACCTCTGACCACTTCGCTACACGCGTCCATTAGTTTAAAGTATCAAATGCAAATGTGAGGTGAAATTGCGGAACTCACCTAAGTATCGTGGCAGTGGTACAAGATGCCCTAAAGTTTTACATTTATCGACATGAAGAAAACCTGTGAGGTCTCTGGTTACTGAAATATAACTTGTAATGTAAGTTTTGAACATTCAGAGCACCCATAGTAAATTGCAGAGGTGTTCCATGAATTATATACTCGCTTCACAACCACAGTTTCGTTATTCTGCAACGACAATCTGGGAGGCGTAACTATTTGAGTCCAAAAGGTCTGTACCATGTTTTCAGCATTGCCTGGTAAACAACCTGGTGACACAACAAGAATTTCAAAGCTGGTAGTCGACACGTACAATCA